TAAGATAAAAAAAAAAAAAAAAAAAAAAAACAAACAAACAAACACCCTGTCTTTACTGTCATTATTTACGCCATGTGATTCTCTCTTACAAGTCTGTAATCTCGCGGTGATAGCGCGATGTAGAAACAGTTCGACAAAACGGATTCTTCGAAAATGTTTCTTCCGTTTACGACTCATCATAGAGAAACCTATAGATATGTCTCTCGATCCTCTTGATATATCGATTTCTTCATAAGAGATTCGTTACTTGCCGAGCGTTATCGTATATATATATATATATGTATATATATATATATACGTATATATATATATATATATAATACGAGAGTGAAGAATCGTTTTATCAATCAGTTCTTTGGGCCAGCCATATTTTATCGTATCTCCGATAGATAGTTTTCGTTTTATATATACATATATGTGTATATTTGTTATGTAAGATATTAAACCGCTTTGTTGCAAGATTGCAAATTCAATTCGCAAATTCAATGCAATTTGAACCGATTGTCTATATTTTAGAATATGCGCTCTTCATTCGGAAAATTTGTATTTACATTTATGTAAATTATAATGTAAATTAATTGTATAACACACACACACACACACACGATATTTTTAGAACTACTAAAATGATCTTTCGTATATTTCGTATCTCGATAGCCGTACGTTACGATAAGAGATTGTCCATCTGAACCAAAGGGATATGAATATCTTTGTACGATCGTTAATTTCCTCACAGTTTCCTCGTTGATAATTCGGCACGATGTCGCTTGATACTTTTTGGACATCGTTCAATTCGCACGCTTATTTTGCTCGAAAACATAAAGAAAAAGTTGATTATATGTTGGAATTTACATATCAAACGAATCCGTGTAACGCGAAAACAGTAATTTAATCATTGCAAGCTGTTCGAGAGAAATGTTTTTTTCCGTTTTTATTCTCTTAACACATTAAATGACAATAAGATTATTGCTTACAGAAAATTAAAAATTACACTGTTTGTTAATATAATGTGAAAAAGAGAGAGAGATTTGTTTTTGATTCTTTGCTTTTCTGAAATTGTGTATACATATTATTGTTGTTTCAAAAAGATTGTATATTTACGAGTGTTATATGTATATACATATACTCTTTTCGTTATATTTACGTGCAATGATGTAAGTGGTATATTGTTTGTACCGAAGTTTTTTCAGAAAGCAGTTCTACACAAAATGTGGTATACTAACGCAATTATATTATTATTAAGCGTTGAATTATTTGTAAGCACACGTTGTGATGTATTAATATTTTATGAAACAACACGCCAACTGATATAAATTAAGAGATCTCGTATTATTATATTGACTCCAGACGTTTCCGACGCGTTAACCATGTAAATCTGATTACTACAATTAACGAGATGAGTGATTTTAATTTTTTTGTCAGCGTCAAACTGTAAACGCGTAAATTCTACAAAACGCTTGCATTTGTATATTGAGTTTGTTAACGCGATTCACACGCTATTCACATCGGTGACGCGGCGAACGAGGAAAACCAAACTTTTTTGGAAATATTTTCTGTGATTCGCAGCGAAAGAGGATCGCAATAGAGCGGTAAAGGGAAGCAACGGCAAAACACATATATACACACAAAGAGAAAAAAAGGAAGAAGCTCGACGGCATGGCATTACTTGCAATGAGGAAACTCGCAATATATAACAAGCAATATTAACTAAGTCTCTTTTAATTCCATGTATATTAAAAAAAAAATGATTATGTGGATGCTTAAACGAGATTTATTGAATTTATAAACGAGCAAAGCCAAGGGATAAGATAAAATACCAATTTTACATATTCTTACTAATCGTAAACGATTACAGTACATATAGCGATATACTAAATTATACGAGTATGTATCGACTTAAAAGAAAAAGAACAAAAAATGATATATATATATATATATATATATATATATAAATAAATATATATATACATATAACGATAGGCTGCCTGCAGCGAGCGGGTGTGTGAGCAGAATCTAATCTACGTAAGTACGTAAAAAAAAAAAGTTTCAATTTTACACTACCGATAATAATGAACATAACGATAAGACTATATAAGATATATTGATGATTTATAATATAATAATTATAACGTTGTACAGAATATTTATGAACAAGCTCGCTGCTGGGAAGAGAATCGAGCTCTCCTCTCTTCGTTCGAATGTTATAAATCGCGATCCCGATTGCTACAAGAAATCGATACACATACCTGTTCAATCACTCGAATAAGATTCGGGGGGGCGAAAGTTAGAATCGCGAAGAGAGAATCGATTCTCTGTCCAAAAGCGGCCAAGACTATAATGGATGTTTTGTAAGATAAAAAAAAAAAAAAAACAAAACGCGATCACGGAGCGCCGAGTTTACGTTCGAGACAGCGAATCGATCGATTTGCCCGATTACAATTGAGGAACTTCGAATCTCTCTCGGCGATTACTTTTTCTTAAACGGAGGTCTTAAAATAAAAAGAAAAACGGGGATCGGTCGGTTGCGTGAAACTCGTGCGATTTAGAGAGTAATACTCGGTCCCGGGATATTATTCAAACGGAAGAAGAAGTGAGAGATAGGAACAAAAAAAAAAGATAGAAAGTGAGAAAATATTATCCGCCACGAGGCACGAGAGCGCGGGGGCTGATAATCTAATTAATTGTGTATGTATACAAACAAAAATAAATATAATATTGCGATTATAAATACTAAACTAATAAAGAATAACAAAAAAAAATATTATACCCCTCTGTACATATAAATATATATTATATGATACAATTATTATTGCGATATGATTTATTATAAATATATATATACATAAATATATATAAATATAACTCATAAAATCACACATTATTATGTTTATTATTGTTTACTTATGATTATATTGAAACTATTAATATTGCGACGAGAGTAATGATTGATTAAAAATGACGATGATTAACGATGATAAACGATAATGATGCTGACGATGTGATGAGGATGGGGATAATGATGATGATAATGATAATGATAATGATGATGATGATGGTGATGATAATGATGACGACGATATTATGATTTTTTTATGATTATGATTATTATACAATAATATTATTACTATTTAAGGAAAGGTTCACAACGTGCCGTGTGTATGTGGGAATAAAAAATATATACATAATGGACATTGTGTTCTCACTTCAAATTAATTGTGTTTTATATGTGTATATATATATATATATATATATATATATACGTCTTTCTAATTTTAATTATTTTCTTAACATCTTCCTTTCAGAGTGGTGAGATAAACGTGTGTAAACATACGCGTTTTGTGTACTCGTGAATTGCAAGTAGAAGTTCGAAATCAATCGGGAAATGTTAAATTAGATTGCATTTTACAAGACAAATTGACTCACATTGCAGAAGATCGCACGGAGTAGTCGACCGCATTTGTTGTAGCCATCGATTTTCGATCACAGATCCGCACACACCGTATTTTTTACCACTTACAAAAGACGATAAAATCTGCGTAACGCGACTGTAAACCGCGGCAAACTGACATGGCGTACACGGAAGCGCGCGATTCGAGAATCGCAAAATCACTCTCGAATCGCTCTCGAATCGCTCTCGAACAATCGCCAATATGGCCGCCGTCCGCGGCCACGCAGAGAGAGGTTATATGCGTTAGCAACTGTCAAACGCGTGACGTGACTCGCGAGTCAACTTGAACGAACATTCGAGCTTGCAGCTCGCGTTTCGTGATAAGAACAAATCAAAATGGGAATTTTCTTCTCGAAGAAAAAGCAACCGAGTCGCGTTACCGAACAGGACAAAGCAATCTTGGTGAGTAAAATGTGTTAACCTCATCATCTCGTCTTAAAACCTGCTGAAACATGGTCTTATCTTTAATTGCGCTGGATTTACATTATTGTCAACTACGTAATTTGCGATGTAACATCAGCAGATGTTGTATATTAAGTTCCGAAAGTGTTGTTATACGTTGTCAACATATTCAGGATGCGTTGTTAATTACTCGATTCTTTGTTCGTGCAGCAAGTGAAACAAACGAGAGATAAAATTAAACAATACCAAAGAAAGATCGAGCAAACTTTAGGGAAAGAACGATCGCTTGCGAAGGAGCTTCTGAAAAATGGAAAGAAAGAGTAAGTATATTTTGGATTTGACAGAAAAACAGTTATATTACATTCTTCTTTTCAATATCTGTTTTTTGTTTTTTTAAAGCATAATTTGTTTCATCATTCCGTTACATATTTGTTACAGCCGCGCGTTACTTTTATTACGCAAGAAAAAACATCAAGAACAAGTTCTTTCACGTGCGGATGGCCAGCTGGAGAATCTCGAGCGTATGATACACGATTTGGAATTTGCTCAAATTGAGACTCAAGTTGTTGATGGCTTAAAAGTCGGTAATAGCGCATTAAAGCAGCTACACGCTTTGTTGTCTATTGATGAAATTGAAAAGGTCATGGATGAGACAAGAGAAGGTATTGACAAACAAAGAGAAATAGACGAAGTGCTGTCATCGACCTTCACATCGGAAGATGCCATCGACGAAAGTGAGCTCGAAGCTGAATTGGACAAGTTGATAGAAGCGGAAATCAGCGAGAAAGCTCCGGATATACCGGAAGATGTACCATTGCCGGATGTGCCAACGGATTCATGGGTACAAGACGATAAAGAATACAAGAAAAGCAGAATATTTGAAAAACCGATCGCACTAACAGCCTAAGAAGATTTTTTTCAGAGAGATTTGTAGATTCGCTCTAAAATTTAAGATTCTATGCAACACACTATGTATATATGTACATATAAGTATAAGATTTATGTAATAAGTATAACTTATACATACACGCTTCTTTTATAACTTGTACTTATTACAAGAAGAAAAAGTCACTAATATCTTACTTAGAAACTATTGTTAATTTTTTAACAGTTTATCGTATATCAAAAAAAAATAAATTCTATATATTTCCAATATGTATATGTGAATACAAAAGCTCAATATTGAATGATGAGTTGTGCGAATAAAACGAACTTTTTACGTTTTGTATATTTTTTATGCGACACACAACGGACAATTCGTATTGAAATGCAAAATTTTACGGCTTCTGTACGTATTATGTATATCGATGAGTCATCGACGGTAATAACGTAGTATAGTCTGATATAAAGACTAAGACAAGTTATGCCAGGTATAAGAATATTAAATATTTATTATAATATATAACGAATAGAAATCTTGTCTTTCAAAAGACTCGTTTTGACGCAAGCGCGATAATGGTATCATTGCAATCGCGATATAATCTATAAGTAACTGAGTTGCTTGAAAAGATAGTGTGAATCATTATCAAATTGCATTTCGATTCATTACACTGCTATTAAACAACAAAGCAATCAATATTCCGAACATTTTCCGCATTTTGGTTTTTCCTTAATGTGTTTTTACGTGAATCAGACGATAAATCAATATCGGAGTTTTTAAATATTATTTATTCTATACAGGAAATATATAAAATGAACGTGTCTACTACGAAATAATTTTTTTCCAATAATGAAATATTCATCGATTATAAATACACACACGTAATAAACGCATGTCTATATTTTTAATAGTGGTTGTCTACTAAAAAAAAGATTACTTTTGTATCTCAATATTATAAAATTTACGTTGAGATGTTAAAAACAAATTTAAACAATATGTATGTAAAAATTTATTTTTTTAACACAAGAGAGAGAAATAGATACTGTGTTCAACATTTCAAGTCATACGTATACATACGTACAATCAGCGATACCTGCGCTTGACTCCGGTGGTGTAAGTGGCAACGTGGGCTGCGTGGGTTAGAAAGACCGCGAGTACGACGCTCGCGTCAGTTTGCGCTGAGTCTTCTTCGTGAGAGTTGCGTTCTCTTGGTGCATCATCGGGGCAGCTCTGTCACGGCTTCCTTGTTACCGATGCACAGAAGAGGAACGAGAACCCGTCGACAGAAAATCAAAGACTCAGTCAGTTAAATTAGCGCGTTTTTTTTAAATCTCGATCGTCGAACACAGTCTGTTTCGTCATCGCAGAGAATAGTTCAGGTAAGAAGCGATCTCTTTGTAATGACCCTGACGACGATGAATAAACCGCGTTTCTCACTTTCAATGCGCATTATTCACGCGTGCCTAAAGTTACTTTCCTAAACCAACATAAGCAAGTCTTTTTTTAGTATAAAATAATACTACAGATAAATGTGATATGCTACAAGAGATAAATGATATTGCAAAATCTACCGTTATTCTACCAGAAGTTTTTTTTTTTTTTTTGTTGCTTCTCTTGCAGCTAGTGTTGTATCGTACATAGTCATCAAATTTTAATCATATCTTTTATATTCAGAGAACTTGAATGAGCGATAAGTTTTGCTCGGAGCAGGTTTTATTGCGCTGCTTTTTTTTTCTATGTAATCTTTACAAAAAGATTCATCGCTTGAAAACAACGTTTCGTTTGATAATAAATACAAAATAATTACATTTGTTGAGAAAATATTTGATTTGCTTTTACCAATTTAAAATTACAGATATTATTCTTTTTATCTTTGCGTAACGGTCGACATGCAACTCGAGTTGTTCGACTTGCTAATTGAGCGATCACGTGGAAATATTTATCGATACACATGTCTGATGATAGGGTATATCCTCAATTCGGTGTGTGAAATAAGCAACACTTAAGCAGATCGTATTACGACATAAAAACGGCGTGACACACAGATGTGCGAATTTAAAAGATGTGTATGCTTGTAGAAACTAGAAACATGATGCGATCTCTTTATCACACTGTTACATACATATGTATGTTTTTTGCCGGTATATGCGCAGGTATATAAGCTGAACTGTCGCTTTTTGCGCATATCGGTTTAAGATATGTATAAAAAATGTTTTTTTTTTTATCAACTGGAAAGGTCAAATAACATATTTACTTTAACTTAGCGTTGCTGCTATACATCATATTTCAATATTACATTTGCGTTATACATTTTTTTGTTTATTCAGATAATGTTTAATTTTTCTACTACTAAATCTGTTTGAAGTTTTTAGTTGTTAAAATATTATTTGTCTTATTATTTTGTTTGTTTTTATATTTACGTGTAGTGTGTTTGTAATCTTTGTTTAGGAAATGTCTTGGAAAAATAAAAAACGTTTTAACCATATGTTACATTTGCTACATACATATATAGTTAATATAAAAATATGGTAATGTTAAATAAATAATGTTGAATCTCTTATGATAAATGACACGATAAATCATATTTGTAACGCAATTTATCATGAAGTGCACGTTTTTTCCGTCAAATTTTGCAGTCGATTAGATTTTGTCTGATATTAAATGTGGAAAAAACGTGCGCGATAAAAACGCGATATCTCAACACGTTGACGCGAGTGTGCCATCGAAGAAATTTTTGCACTTTTTAACATTTCAAATTTGAATTATTTAAACAACACGTATTTCATGTTGTATATGCTAAATACATTTATAGAATGTATAAATACATTCAATTGCTGAAATTATTCTTAACTATGTACATGAATCTCTTAAAAATTATAAAATCAAATCAATACGTAATCAAATCAATGCGTTAAATAATTGAGAAAATTTCTATTAAAAATTTATCGTACAGTACGCTGTGTTTTTTTTAATAATTTTGAAAACATACAGTGTCGTATAAAAATATATAAAATTTTTCTCTTTGACTTGTTTAATCATTTTCAAGCAATTGTTTTCAATGGGGAGAGGGAAAAGGAAAAAAAACCACACGTATATATAACTCGCGTCTTGGATCAATTATAAACCTGTCGGGTGGTATAGCGACAACGGCAACAAACAAGCTTTTCATTTTCGTAAAACGTTCGGTCCGTCTTTTTTGCGCGACAGCTTTGCAAAGCGTAAAGTCGACCGTTTACTTATCTACTTCTACCGTATTCGACATGTGCGAGGTGCGAAACCGGGTTAAGGTTAAGTCGTGTGTGAGAGACGGGTAACCATGTAACAGTTGTATACTGGTGTCAGTTGTCGGTGCGAGTTATTGACGCAAGAGTCGTAGTTTTCTGATCGGTTCACGGGGAGACTTGCATGAGTGTGCGAGAGACGCGATGCACGCACATGTAAATATATAGGAGGGATCGCGTCACGCACACACCGTCTAACCGCAACCGTTCGATAAAATGTAAAATGCACGAAACATAGGTGGATCGATCCCACCAAAGGCCGGAAAGTGCGCGTACTAGTTCTGACTATACGTGGAATTTTTTTTTTTTTTTTTCTTGTATTCTTTAAAAAAGGACATACACAAAGTCTCGGTAGGTGTTCGAACGAATTTTTGGGATCGGGTCAGGTCAGGTTTTGTATCGATTAGTTTCGGCTACGTCAGGATGAAAAATTGTTTTTTTAACACTCTACCTTATTTTTACGACTCATAGACGGTCTCTAGATTCTCTAGTATGTTTTACTCAATATACTACGTGTAGTTCTTTGAGTCGATCACAAATTTATTGTCCCATGTCACAATGATGTTTCAAAAACCTAACAATGATGATTCATTTAAATACGTCCGAGCATATTTGAGCTGTTAGTCAATGTAGTTTTGGCACGTGTAAAGCATTAGATCCCACGTTAAGTTACTGAAATTAAGGCTCCATTGAGCACGATTAGCACGACTTAGTTTCTCCGGTGTTACTCCTAATTAACATACGAGATAATTGGTGCAAAATGAGGCTTAACGTATCATCTGGTATCATGGCTCGTGTTATTCAATTTGTAAAAGAGCGTCATCTTCGATTCGTTTTGCCGAACTGTAGCTACATATATCGCACGAAACTTGGACTTTTGAACAAAGCGAGCACTCGGCGCGTATTTTACGACAATGTAGAAATTTGTTATCGGCTCATTACGTTATCGTTCGGTAATTACCGCGGAGACGAACAGCAATACTTAATATGTTGCACTTTATTGGGTGTAATATAGACCTCTTGAGGAGGATCGTAATACAAGTCACGTCCTTGGATGTCACTTCGCGTACGTATGTAAATTGGAATTAATTTCGCGGCCGCGTCGTTGCGTTGGTTTATGTGTACGTGCACACGCGGAGTCAGTGGATTGATGATGTATTTCTTTCTCTCTCTCTTCATTGCGCACAACATACGTTTGTACGGAACGACATGATTTTGCAGAGTATCTCGTCGTCACGTGTTTATATACCTACTCGGCGTTTGATCGCGCAATGATAACGTTTCAAAAATAAGACACTTTATCTTTACGATTTCGATGCCGGCGCACTGGGCAAACGGGATTGCACAAGAACGATTGTAGATGCTTTCTAGAATTATCTTTTTTCTTCATTAGTGTGCACACACACGTACACATATATATACATACATTTATTGCTTTATATTGGGTACCTCACAGCGCGATACGTTAGTCAAACAAAATTCGTTAATTAAGAGAGACGCTCTTGTGATATTAACACGTAGTTATCTTTCGATAGCCGACATGGATGAGACTGGTAAACTATAATTACGATATAACGTTACGTTAATTGAGAATTTAGTTCTTTGAAGAGAATTCAGTTTTTTTTTTTTTTAAAGATTTTTATTTATGGAACTTTTATTTTTAGAATAATGAAGAAATTAAACTAGGAAATAACAAGTAATTTCTTGCGTTTGAACGTGTTGAAAAGTGTGTTGTGTAACATTATTCTAATCGCACTATGTGCAGCGTTGAGAAACAATTAGCGCGCAATAGTTACGATATGTAATAATATACTCGTGTTTCTTTTATTATTTTGAAGAAATAATCATAAATTGGATTCAACGGTGTAAACCGACATGTTTTAATAACTGAAAGTATTTTCTTGAAATGCTATGTGACAAATATCGATCGACTTGCACCAATGTTGACAGGACTTATCTGCACGTTAATCGTTTCCATGTAGCCTACTTTGCAGATAATCAAAAGATATTTATAACTGCTGTGAAATAATGAATTATAAAACCGCCAAGTTCCGCTAATGAATAGAGTTTGTGAATAATATATTGATTCCACAATAGTTTCAAATGCAATTATGTGTCGGCGTCTGTCATTTGTACAATCCTACTTATAGACGTTCTCACTTGAATGTACTTTTACTGCTTTATTGTACACGTGTCGATATGCCAAACGGCAAATTGGAACGTGTTGATACAGCCGGATAAGACAGACTCTGTGTCGTATTATAAAATTTATAACAAAAACACTTTTGTTAAGTAAACTTTACGTCGTTAAAATATTGATATTTTTTTATTAAAGAAAAATCGATTGATTAAAAACAAACACCTATCGATATTTTGAATTTGAGCGTGTGTTTCAGCAATGTCTTTGGAAGAGTCCAGAAGATCGCAGCGTCCGTATAGGTACGGAATGGTCCTGCTATGCGTCGGGGCTCTCATAAACTGGTTGGGTCTAGCCGAGAATTACGTTGAACCAGTGCGTTATGTCGGTGTCGCTTGCATAGTCGCCGGAGCTTTGCTCATTTGCGCCGCGATGTGTTGTTGGCTACACGCACCGCCAACTAGAACGAGCACGCACACGCAACATGCGAATCATCCGATCACAGCGCAGGTAATTTCCGAACTGTCAACATATTCAGTCTAGATAGCAATTTATTTGTCTGCCGGAAACAGACTTTGACGCTTAACTTGAATCAAACGTAGAACAAATGTTTTTTTGTTTTTATTTGAAATTTTACTTGTGCGAAAATCATTGAAAATAAAATAACAAGTTAGCTAATTTTTAACAACAAAAATAAAATCGCGCCGGAAGAATTTAATCAAAATTGAAACTAAGAGAGACGCAAATATCTGGTCTTCTGTTGGCCTATTGTATTTATTTTACAAAAAATAAATTTAGAAAACTTTTTTCTTCAAACACTGACGAGTATTGAAAATCATGATAGATATTGATCTCACAGCTTTTTTTTGTATCAGTCCGAAATGATTCTGATCGACGCAGCGTGACGTTTAGGACTCTGGGGATTAAAACGGTTTTAGATCGATTCGGGTCAACCTCCTTATAGACCACAAAGAACGCGTATTATCTATAGATATCCTCTAGCCTAGCAGTAAGCCGCAATTACTAGAGACGGAGTAGGCAGAAAAAGAAAAAAGTTAATAATATATCCTACGATCTAGAGCTCGTACTTTTTTCCCTTCGAACGAAGCTAACGAAAAAACAGAAGGAGAGATACGAAGAGAATGAGAGACAGAGAGAGAAAATTTGTATACACATCAGATAATGTATCGTAATGTTCATAAATCATCTTTTATTTGATAAACAGCGCCTTGCGTTTGCTTCGAGTTTTATTACAGGCAAAGTATAAGCCTGATATTTATGAACATTGTTAAAAAATTATTTAAGAACAAATCTCAACGCAAGACTGACACTCGCGTCATCAAAAATGGCGCAAAGTCATGATTATATCACGTTTCTTTTACGTTTTCTTTTTTCGGATCTCGAGTTACGGAAATAACACGATTATATACCGCCACGTCCTTATTATATGATCAACATTACTATTATTAGAAAAATGTGTGTCACGTACTTTCAGCATGTGACACATTGTTTTTTTTCTGTTGCCAATCCATTAATGCAAACGTGATTGCTTATAATATAAAGTTTACAATATGTCGACGGTAATTCACATGATGCTTTATCGTTCTTGTGTGTACCACAAGTTTTATTTGTAAAACGGTTTCCTCGTCATAAAGAAATTGTCGGTAAATATTTTTCACACAAAATAAACGTTCGGTCTATTTTCGAATGTTTATCTCTTCGTTATTTATGCTTTGTTACACTATGTAAGATAAAGTGATATAACGCACATTGACGTGCAAAAGAAGCTTCTCTCTCTTTTTCTTTTCTTCTCTCTCTAGAATAGTCTCTAACGTCGATTGCTGCTATAAAGGATATTCACCCGGTGGGAGGGAAGAAGAGGAAGCATATATCCCCCTAAAGCTATATGTTGTAGCTTTGTCATTTATCCTTGAAACATACTTGCTTATAGTTGTGTGATGACAGGTTTTCAACCTTCGAACAAAAGAAATAAATACACGAAGCAGTTTTCACCCATAGCACATTCTCATCGCGACATTCTCACTACCGTATGTTTGTATTGAAGTTTACTTCCCGCTTGTGTGTGTATATTTGTAAAGAAAAAACCCGCGCGTTTATTCATAACTTTGTATCATCGCCGCCCATCCATCTCGCGTCATTACGTAATCTCGTTTATTCTTATGAAATAGAGTGTATTCCGTGTCAAGAAACGCAAACGTCATCACCGATTCTGCGAAAACCATTTGAATCAATGTTGAATTGATTTTCCTCTTGACGCATTACAACCTTTTAAGTAACAACTTATTGGTGAGGCCGCTCCTCAATGTGAAGGAAGAAAGCGCGAAAGATATGTATATGAACACGTGTCCAATTTTTTTAAACAAGTCCAACCGTCAAGGGACTCGTAACATATTTATTCATGATAACAGACGACATATGGTGTGGCGGCGAAAGTTTCTTTCATATCTGATACGTCCGATCGAACAGCGGCGCGCGAGCTTGGGGTGTCGTCGCGAATATTCATAAATCGCGCTCAACGAGAGGCGTATTTTTGTCGAGAAAATAGAAAAATAATTTTGCGCACACAATCGAACAACCTCGAGATTACAGTCGTTCACCTCGCACTTCCACTTAAGCTTATTATGCAATTTTCCAGCGAAGCTTTTCTTTATCGCCGCAAATAACCACGTTTATTCTCGTCTCTCGACCGCGTGTACGGACGACGCGCGCATTTTCACATGTGTAACTTTTTTTCTCTCTCTCGTGCGTCACCCTATATGTATTTTGCGCGCGCCCTTTCTTTCGCGACTTACATTCAAGCCCGACCACAATGTTTTTCCGAAAGAATACCGAGAAAACTGGACGTAGATAGAGATATCTATAGACGACCTACGACGAATATAGCGCGATGTGCAACTTCCGGGTGAATATCCTTATAATACGGCATGTGGAATATCTACGGGAATCGCGCGCGGGGTCGACACGTCGATCCGAATAACTTTAAATAGACACGCCGCGACGAAGGGATATATATCTTCGTGATGTGATTAGCTGTGTGATACATATTCTTGCAAACGCAATGTATTGTAGCAAATTTAAATTGAATTTAAAAAAAAACGGCAGGATTTTTCATCACAAAAACAATTACAGCTAAGTTGCGTAATTGTAAAAACTCCCAAGTTCTTTTTCTTCCTTCCTGGTGCAGTTTTTAAATAAATCTTCCGAATTAAAAAAGTGAACGTGAACAATCAAATTTTCAGTGATTTTGACTTGCGTCTAATAAACAAACAAAAAAAGATTTTGATCTTTAGTTGTCTAGTTGATATCAATAGTATTTTGGAGTATAATTTGGTTTCTTAAATACAAAATTCTCACAAATCCACGTGCGAAATAGCGAGAGAATGAACGAAAGTCCAACGTAACTTTACTTCAATTTCATTGTTTTAAAGATCGATGATCCGATACACGTGATCTCCATCGATGAGCCGTCAGGCGTGTCGAGACAAAAGCCGCCGGATTATGAAGCGGTGACAGACGCACCACCAAGTTACGATGATGCCATCAAGCTAAATCCTAGTCAATTAGTTAGGTTGAATGGTAGCACACCATCGTTATCCTCAGGACAAATTATTCCCACAACCATCAGCATCGTTTCTCCTACGCTCACGCCACCACCGCCGTACGCAAGGTGAGATTATTGATTAATGAATTGTACAAGTGTTGCGTTTCATTACTTGGAACATAAACTTTTCCATTCGAATTTGCTTTTCTTCAAGATATAAATGAAGTTAATTATTCTAAAATATTCACGTGTGTACAAGAATCTCGCATCAATTTTCATCGTTCTCAAACGTTTTCGAATTCACAAATAAAGAAGCGAGTATTTCGAATCGGTCGTTTTTTCTTCTATTTCAGGTGAGACTTTGACATCGGGGAGGGAGAGACCAATGAATCCGGGATGAATATGAGATTTGCACGCGCAACGTGTTGGAGGATTGATATATTGCCGTCAGTCGCAAAGAACGATCGCGTCGCAAACTGCAAACAATATGACAATTGCCGTTGTTTGCCGTCGTCGTTCGAACATGTATGCGCAGCTGTACAAAATGTATAATCTTGTCAGAGGAATTAAATCATTCATTTAGAGTTCGCTCACGATATTTTTGCAATTATAAAAATCAAAAAAACAAAAAAAAACAAAAAAACAAAAAAAAATGCGTAGTATCTCTCGTGCGTGTTATTTATCAATCTCAGAACGGTTAATTAATCTCTTTTATAACCGTGTAAATGTTTCTGCGCTATGACAGAGAGAAACAGAAAAGAGATTTCGAAGGTCAACTAGTATCTCATTTGAATTTACGTATTCAACATCAATCGGAAATTTTATTATCGAATTATTTCTATAATAATAAAATAGCGTGATAGCGCGCGCACACAATCGCGAAACAAAAACCACCTTCGTTTTCTGTAGTTTTATTTCCAACGATATCCACGAGTTGTCTCGATAAAAATGCTGTAACGAACCAATATCGTTTACGGTCGACCGCGTTTATTGCTCGACCGTTGTGCAACCAAGAGAATGCAGCAACGACTTTTGACAGTCGGATGTTTTGTTCAGTTTACTACTACCAGCCGTTCATTTAATTTAATGATTCGTGTGCCGTTTGAATCGCGCCTGATTGATCAACCGAGCTGATCTGCAGAAATAGCAAGGTTCAGTTGACAAAGAGCAAAGACGAACTTTCTATACGTATAGTTTTAGTTTATCGGAATTGTTAATTTGAAAAGTGACGTGGACAAGCGTGGAAGAGATGTTAAAATGCAAAGTATATACATTTGTGTATACGTCTTATTTCTCATTAACATTCATTATACTTGGAAATTTGATCATTATTATTTTTTAACACAAAAACTCACTTAATTACTCATTATTAAATCTACATTTATACAAGATTGAAAATATTCCAACGGATATTTTTATTCTCGGATACATTGAGAAAAAATGTAATGAGCGCTTTAAAAAAAATTCGCAATGACAAAAAATAACAAAAACTTAACGAAGCGCGTAATGAGAGAGCTGCGCGTATTTTATCGAAAAATAATAATGTTCCGTTATTACATATTATCTCGTTGCATATCTCTTTTCAATACGCACACGCGTGCACGGCACACACTCATGCGAAAATTATTCGCACGTCCATTTTATATTGTGTGATATGTATTATTATAAACATCATATAAATATTTGTATTATATATATGAGAAGAGCAACACTGATGATGAACGCAATTGCGATGTTTGTACAATAAGACTTTTTTTATAACAAAAGTGCAAAATATACATTATACATTTTTCTACGTAAATCTTACGTCGCGTCTTTTTGCTTTCTCTTGTTATATATGTGTGTGTTTTTAAAATCTCTTTAAAACCTCCCCTCTCATAGAGACAGATTTATATTATTTAGTTAAATGTGTCGTTTCATTTTATTATGTATATAATTTATGTATATTACATATATATTACACGTAATATATTAAATGTAATATACGTTATAAAACATGAATATCAAGTAGGTAATACATTTTCACATGCGTGATAAGAAAGAAACGGATTCAGTATTCATCGATAAATACCCTTTATTCAATCGGAGTAACATTTATACTTACTTAAAGCATGTTTATTGAACTTATAATATATATACTTGTATATTTTTTTTTAATTTTTATTAACGGTAACAATCATAATCGCAGTAATGACAAAAACATAACGGTAATTATGACAATAAATTGATAGCAATAATAATAATAATAATAATAATAATAATAATAATAAAACAACATAATGCTAAGAGGAAAAAATAATGTGGCAATGTAATAATATATAATTAACAATAATTTTTTATACACATCGTGACTAGCAAAGTGAGACGGTAATGATAATATCAATAAACAATATTGCAGAGTACACGTAATAGTTGTACTGTTATAACGGAACAGGACGTAGGAAAAGCCAAATTTTTTATTGACCCATCAATTATTGATTACTTATTTTTCCTCCATTCCCATTCGTTCCTTATTTTTTCATTCGTCAATTACGCTAAGTCGTGAAGTAAAAGAATTACTTGACTTGATAGTGACAATGATAACCGTAATTATAATGATAATGATAGTGACAAGAATAATTATAACGCCGAGATTATTCGTAAATGTCGGTCGACTATCGCTATCTTTTAATTTGTTATTACTCTCACTACACGGGTTGGTTAAAGTATAATTACGTCTGCGCATTCTCTTCTCTCATCTCTCGTCAGGCAAACAATTAATTTCTTCGTAATTGCTTCCCTTTTTTTTTTGTATATATACATCACCTATATACCGCATATCATAGTTGTGGCAAAAACTCAATATAATTTATAAAATAACGTAAGCAGTTTACCATCAATAGTCACACACTCTTTCTCTCTCTTTTTTTCTCTTTGATTATTCAAACCACATATTTTGCTATTTTAATGATCTTGACATTATTACTCTGCGCATAGCAACAATGTTTTGCACAATGAATACTAACACCAAGCGCATCGTGTATAATTTATACACTGTATCATTAGCATCTTTCCCAGTAGTGTATACAATGAACGATGTTAGTTATCATAAATATACACAACAAATCAGCGATTTTCCTGATAAAACAAATGCTTTAACAGAAAAAAAGAGAGAGATGGGTTATTTTGCACACTTATTTCAAAATTATTTTATATTCAAGACGTCTTGTTTTCGTATTATGTTTAATTTGTTAGCATCGAAGTGCTAACAATATTTTTTTTTTTGCACTTGTGTGTCGATCGATTTGTATGTAAGAGCAGCAATAATTAACGAGAACAAAAACATTCTTGACATGCCCGAACGATAACTACATTCTAAACGACGCAGTTTTTTTAAAACCACGAATCGACGACTCGAAGTCTAAAACTTTCAATATTTACAAGTCACGTAGCTTCTTCCCCTTCCGCGTTCCTCCGCGATCCCAAAAAAACAAACGCAATAGATATAACAGAACATAAACAGATTGACGAAACAATAACAACCGAAGTGATATACACGCGTTTTACAACGTGCGATAAAGTACACAGCAAAGATATATCAAAAAAGGAATGCGGTGACGGCATTCTGAAAATTATTATTATTACACATAAGAACAAATATCCTCCGACTGAATCACTTCCTGGAGGATTACAAAGCTCAAAGTCTTCTCTGTATGTATGTGTGTGTGTGTGTGTGTGTCTTTGACGAAATGATGGAGACTCGATTAAAACTCTAAATTTTGTTTGCCTCAGCCATAATAAATATGACAATACGTCGCGCGTTTAGCGATAACTGTGATGAAGAGGCCACGCGCGAATTTCACGAGCGTCTCGTCATTCCACCAAACTCGCAGCATTATCATCTCAGCGATTCTTTTCTTTTTTTTTAATAATAATAATTGTATATCTCTGTGTGACACACTATGTACATCATATGGACAACATGTCTCTCTCGCACATTTCTTCTTTCTCTCTCTCTCTTTCTCTCTCTCGTATAGACTCAGTTTACTATTATATAAATATGTTTCGGTATACTCGTGACTTTTTTTTTTGTTTATATTTTATATCGACAGTAGTAAGAGTAGTGGTACCGATAATGACGATTTGAATTAGTCGCTAAAAACGATCTGGCTGGTTGTGTAACAGTTACAGTGTAGTAATGATAGGATTAGTAGTTATAGTATAGTAGTATAGTAATAATAATAATAATCATAATAATAATAATAATGTGACTAGCTTGACGACTAGTTTAGCCGATAATTGATTTGTAAGTAGCTTGTTTTGGTTCAGCAGAAGCGTCATTTGGTAGACACACATATCGGTTCTCGTAGATTCGCGCGCTGATCGCTTTAAATAACGATAATAACAGTTATTACAGCAGTAAATTTACGGCGAGAATCCGATATAAAGTGAAATCAATTATTTTTTTTGTTTTTTTTTTTACACGACAGAACAGTCTGACACCACCAATCTGTCAAATCAGATTATAAATGAATTTCTTCTTTTTCTTCATTGTACGTATATTTACACACACGGTTGTCCCGTGTTAGCGGCGGACCGTCCGTCGATCGTGATACTTGATGCAGATTTATTATGTACAAAAGATATCGCTTATGAGCAACGCCCGGCCCTGTAATAAGTCCGTTAAGCTTAGCCTGGATGGATGCTCACGGAGCCGTTCATCCAGTTTTAGATGCCGTTATAATGCTCACTTATAGCAACCTACGCGCCGGTCGGTTGCCGTACAACCAACCGGCCGTGACAACTTTCACTGACGTCGTTGTCCCAACGTGGAATAGTAGCGGAAAACCCGGTTGACGTCACGTGACGCAAATTCAAAATTTGTGTCAGCTGGGAACGGTCGTGCACGGCCGTGTGATTCCCGCCCGGCGTTATTCGGTGAATCACGCGTCAACGTAATCGTAGGCCGATCCGCGAAGCTCAGTCATCGTATTATGATCAACGCAGTTCTCCCGCGAAGGCTGAACGTCATTATCACGTTTCGTCGTCGTTGAAACGTGAGTAGATATACGACCGCGATCCGCGTCACGTACGCGTCGAATCGCTTGGTCGCGCGGGCTCCGAGCGATTCCGAGCTAAGTGTGGTCGATTTTTAAAGATGGTCTCAGATGGGTGTCGGCAGAACTGTGAAGTCCTGCAGCGCGGTCTTCACCGTCTCGTAGATCGGCCGGTTGCTCTCGTCGGCGCAGTAGCCGTCGGCGGTGCACAGAGTCTGCAACTTCGTCAGATAACTGTCGAAGTTCTCGTGACCTATTTTCTCTTGCGGTCCGCCCGGGGCGTTCGGTATTCGCACTTGCTCCAGCAGAGTAATCATGTTGTCACGTAGTGACTGGTAGTATTCGGTCAGATTATTGTTGCGTTGAGCTATCGATGACGTTTCCTGCAAACAGAAAGTAATAACGCGTCAAATTTTGTCAGGTTTCACCCACAAAGTTGTTTATTAAAAAAAAAAGTAATGTTCTCCCAACACATTCGCAACTGATAAGGAAATAAACCGCAGGTAATCTCTCCAATTGATACCAACATATGACTAATAGAAGAGAACAATTATACGTACACTTACAAATAAGTTTCAACATTACACAAAGATGTAAAGTAATTGTACAATTATCTCGCGTACATATAAAAACAAAAAAACAAAATTTACATATTTTTGATGCTTATTGTCAATTATATTTTTGCCATCTGTTTATTCGACAAACGGTATACTACCGACTGAGCAAACACTGACCTTGTCTCCCTGCTTGAGCTGATTCTCCATGGCGGTAATATCCGAGCGCAGGCGCAAAACCTGCGACTCAACCCGGGCGTTCTCTCTCTGGAGTTCGGTAATCTCGGCCTCCAGTGTATAGAGATCCTCGCTCTGGGCACCGGCGGTTCCGCTACCGCTCGAGTTACCCTGACCCGTGCTCACCGCACCCCCGTGAGCCGGACCACCGGCTTCCAATCCTAGAGACAGGAAAAACACGGTCTAGTTCGACAGACTACTTGTCGTAACGACCGGAAACGCGAATCGTACACTTCCCGGTTTTCAGGAAGATTTGTGTCGCCGCAAATAAACGAGCAATCTTTTCATTAATTCTCACAAGCGTAATCGTAACAATTGACACACGTAATGAGTAGATACATCTTTAAAACAAATTTAAAATCGGGTACGATTCAAGTTTCCAAGTTCGACGAAAACTCGTACGAATTTCTGCGTAGTTAAACAAAAGCATTTTTAACGTTCTGCAAGAGAGCGCGTTCTCTGCTATTTCAGTTTTCTTTTTTTCTGTTTTTTTTTTTTTTGTTTTTTTGATTTGTATAATCATGATCAAAAAGCATCGGATTGAAAAATTCGAACAGAATTTTTGCTCGAGTTTTTGCGTGACACATGGAAATGTAGCGAGCATTTAAATTACGTTAAGGAGAGATTTTTTTTTCAGCAGCGACTCGGGCGATTTGTGTGTGTGCAATTTGCCACGAAAAAACAACATTACAATTGTAGATTTATATATGCAATGTTTTAGTAAGACTGTATATATGCATGGATAGTTTGCTCGGCCCGAGTCACTGCAGTATCTCGAGATAATAGGATATACGATACGGTTTCTTCTGCGTACGGTTCGTGCCAAAATGATAAAACGCATCTCGACAGAAAAGCGAGAGATGAACATTTTGAAACTTGTTCGATTATCAAAGCGTGTGTGCTCCAACTTACAATTAGAGTAAGAGACGCACGAACCTGACAGGAGTGCCGTAGGAATGATATGATCGAAGGGGTAGATGTCGGGGTGTTTTTTTTTTTTTTTTTTTTTTTTTTTTGAGGAAAGTTAGCGTGAGGTGCCATCATACCAGATAGAAGAAAAAAAAAGAGAAAAGAAAAACACCGAGTGCTGGCGTCGAGATACGCGACATTTAAGTTGCGCGTGGATGGACAAAAAGAAGCTTACGATTATAATTTATTGTGCTACAAGATACAATTTACAAATGGTTGCCAACACTCGGACATCATAATTTTTTTTTGTCACGAAAAGAAAAAATACTGGTGTGTGGATTCTGTATGTAACACCGAAAACACATAAGAAACAAGTGGCGAATACGTCAGTCCCTTACCTTCAAAAGTAACCGTGCTCCAAGCTCAACATGAAAGGAGCTGATCCCAGAATAAATCAGAATATATTATTTTCCATCATTAAGACATATGCTTGTTTTTTTCTTGTGATTTTATAATTTCTGTCTTGTACATAACGAAGGAAGAGAGGTTTCTGAGCGGGACCGAATCGAAGGGAAGATGGGGAAAAAACGTGACATAAATCAACGCCGTCGTAATTCAATTCTGGTGCTTTTTTCTCTTTTGCAAACTATATATGTATATATATATATATATGTATATGTCCTGACATCCCTTCGTGTATCTAATCAGTCGCGATATTCTTTCGTGAACCTGGAACATTTTATTTACTGAGAAAGTAAAGAGATCTCAAAAAAAAAAAAAAACGGGAAAACAATAATATCTAACAAAAACAAAAAAATACACAGTTGAAAGAAGAACGAATTTTTTAAATGATCGAGAAAAAAAAACAAAAAAGGACGTAGGAAAAGAGGTTCTTCTCATTGGTATGACAGCACATCATTGCGTGAAGAGCAGAGTATGGCATTAGCATATATATAGGATCAAGTACAAGGTTAGATATGCACAAGTTTACAAAGAAAGAGATACGTAATTCCGTAATGAGTTAGCACCGCGCTCGTACACAGACCTTGCTTTTACGGTATGCAAAGCGGCGTGACATTATCGAGTTTATATTTCGCACGTAAATTCTGAAACAAATCTCATCCGGTTGAACGAACGAGCACGATGCGCAAGCACAGAAAAAGAATGGATAGTGAACTGAAATTGCTTTTTTTTTTTTTTCTATCGCTATTCTATAACATATTTTTTAACTTTCTACTGCGCATTGAATAAAAACGAAAAAAAAAGCGCGCATCTTGCGGTTTTTAATTTTGCCAGCTTTTGAGGTGAGATTTTTGCGTAAAGAGCGAGAGAGCACGCGACAATCTCAGAAGAAAATTTGAACCAAGTTTTTTTTTCGCTAACGGTCTCACGCACAGTGTGTTTTCTGAGCAATTATTATTCTTCGATCGTTAAGTATGGACAGCCGGAAGCGTCATCAGAAGTAACTCGATCCTCACCGGTGATTCCTCTGCTGTACATGCTCATGTTATCCTCCGGTTTTGATTTCTTCACGGTGTGGCTGGCTATCGGACAGCCCGACAGGGATCTATGACTGTGAAAGGAACCGTTAATGTGGCCGAGCCCGTCGCACCCGGGCGTGGGGCAATTGACACCCTCGAACTTCATAGCCGTCGCAGCGGCTACGGCTGCCTTGTGCTGCTCGACTGTACCGCCCGACTCCAACACTCGCAACTTATTTCTATTCGCTATTGGACACCCAGATGCACTGTAAAAAAAAAAAAACAATAAGTTTACATTAAGATTACGAACAAATAGAGAAACTCGTCATTGGATCTTATTGAATACAATCGTAAATCGTCTACTTAAACTGCGTATAAATTAAGATGTTTTTTGTGCTCGATAAGATCGACATGCAATTTTGCGATGGATAAAAAAAAAATGTTTAAAGCAAAATAATTCACGCAAATGGAAAATTCAATTGTTATTTATGAGAAAGATAACGTGGAATTTTTCTGATACAAAATTCAAGCCGAAGATTTTCTATGAGTCTTCTTACCTGCGGTGCGACAAGAATTTGCCGGTGGCATGGCCGGACCCGTCGCAACCCGGAATTGGACATCTGTAGTCCAAAATGCCAACACCACATAATCCATCCGCACAGAGCGAGCGTGAAACGAGCGGAAACCGCCAGTTATTAGTCAGCGTCTTCGCTTTTGCGCGGTGTAACTCAGGCTGGAGTTAGGATGTGGTTACGAGGGAACGGGATTTCCCCTTTTCGGTCTCGCGCGACAGCCTCTCGGTACGTGCAATGCGGTCGAGAAGATACCTGCGTTAGCTGCTACGTGCAACGTGCGAACGCGACGAAAACGCAAATTGAGATCGCGATTACTACCGCACCCTCAAATTGCACAACTTGCGAGATGTAATCGCGTCGTGAAACTAAATCCTAGCTAAGCTCACGATGGGCCTTTGGCTCTTTTCGAATCCCATTCTCTCTTTAACATTTAATTTTTTCACTTAAACAAACTGATTATTTTTATTTATTGATTTTCTTCTGTGTATATATAAAATTTAATTTTTTTTTTTTTTGGTTTAAGTATGTAGTTGTTTTGTTAATTTCTATCGAAAATCGAAAGAGGTTGGAAGTAACGTGAATGAGTATATCGAAACTACAGCTCGATTAGTATTCACTTCACCCGAATAGAAAATGTAATCAAACTAGAAGAAGCGCATAATCACAAGTACTCGGATTGACTAACCTCAAGGGCTCAGAATCTTGACCATCTCGGGGTTTACTCTTTGGCTTGTTCGCTCGTGGACAGCCGGACAAACTTCTGTGCGACGAGTAATTTCCCGTGACATGTCCAGACCCGTCGCAGCCTGGCGTGGGACATTTAAGCTCCTGGGAATGCGCCTGGATTTGCGAGCGGTCAGCTCGTGGACATCCAGACAGGCTGCAAAGAAAAGGAGACTCTCTTCTATTTTAACGCGTTGCAAGAGCCATCATGAAGACCGCGCGCGTTGCACACAATCTGAGGACTTCAAATGAGTCCAACTGTCACTTCGTCAGATGAAGAAAACGTTACTGCATCATAACGCGTTGTAATATCCGATAAAAAAAAAAAGTTTCGCAACGCGGTAATCTTCATGGCTTTGGTCACGAACGCACACCTCAAAAACGTCCAACCATCGTTTCAGCAACACATCGCATGCAATTTACGCGACGTTGCCACGATGTTCGTATAAAATACTCACATGATCTCAGCTGCTCGGCTTGAAAGACGAAAATTAGATTTTCTACGAGTATCGAAAACACATTTTGCTTTCGTTTTAAAGTGATCGAATTATCTACGTGTCGCACGATAGGTGATCTGATGCACCATTATTAAACATCGCTGTTACGGTAACTGTTAACTGCCGTTTTAATGATCATATGATATTATATTGATCGAAGCGGCATGTGAGAGACAGCGGCTCACCGAGATCAGTGCAGCGAGTCAGCGCACTTGGTTTCAGGTACGGCTTAGGTTTTTGGACGACTTGCCTTGCGTCCAGTTCGAACGGACATTCAGGGGAAGGGAGGGAGGCTTAAGACTCGCATCTCTTTGTCGATCTCATCAGTATAGGTCTCGATCGTGTGCACGCCAACGATTAAATATATTTCGAGTCTTACGCTCCTAGGACACCCCCTCCGAATGTCGTGTGGATATTTGATCGATGCGAGCGAACAAACGGATTCGTGTTTATGATATTAGCATGCAAATGGCAACGCCGTGTTCCAGTTGGATCACTCATGAGGTGTCGCTCGTAAGATCAATCGCGCGTTCGAACTCGCGTTGATCCACACAGAGATCGATCTTACTCTAAGAACATCGAAAGGGAGAGAGCAGGGAGCACACTCACACCTGACCCCAATGAAACTCGCCCCCGATTGCCGATTGACTTTGCACGAAGAGAAAGAGAGAGAGTGTGTGTGTTATACAAGAGCGATATATTATATTATACGTGACACCGCTTCAAAGTTTTTTTTTTTTCCGTGATCATTAAACGGTTCTGCTATGACATGGTCATTGACGACAGTTCGCTACGAAGCTGCCCACTCGAGGCTGGCGAAAGCGGCTTTTATAACGGACGGGTAAATCGATCATCAATAACTACGATTAGCGAATGAGTCTCGCGATCGACATTGCCTTGTATATACATACATATGCAATTATACCGAATTTTTTTGATTTTGTCATCCCTTTTCGTAGGGGTCGGGTAAAAAACAGTAGGAAAAAAAGAAATTTACTCAATTACGAGGCTCATCTACACACTTTTTGATCTCGCATAATGTAACGTAGATATAGATACGTAGGATATATATATAAAAATATGTATATAATATATAATATATATATAAAACGAGGAAGAGAAAACGAAGAATAAACAGATATATCATAAACAAAAAAATAAAGATCTATGTCTCTCGTAATATACTTATGCATGATAGGTATATAGTTAACCACTGGATATATTCCATTGTGTACAATAATATAATATATATGTATATATAATATACATATATATATATATGTATTGTGTAGCAACATAATATCGGAGAAGTGTACAAGAATCAACCGCTTAACTAGGAAGAGGAAAGGTTTGCTAGATGTTTATGCTTCGTAATCGCAACACACTTAAGAAGCAACTACGCCACGGACCATCAATATGCATCGATGCAAAGAACCATCTATGTATATATGTAATTCGCAAATTTGCTCAATGTTGTTTGTGTTTACAGCCTCGGCTGTGTGTTTTTTTGTCCCGTACATATTCATCATCTACTGTGTGTTTGGATAAAAAAATTATTATATTATTATTATTATTTATAGGCTGTTTTTGTGTGGGAAACCAAAGGAGGCTAGTACAGATTTTTTGTTGTTCGTATTGTTGTGTGTGTGTATGTAGCGTGCGTACGTGCGTGCTGCATCGCCATATCGATTATATACATAATTTGAGCGTTCACGTCAAAGATCTCTCGGTGTAAATGTCGATGTCTTGCCTTCTGTGGGTAGCGTAGTTCCCTGAGACATGACCCATGCCATCACAGGACGACGTAGGGCACTGTATCAGCTCCTTGCCGTCGCGACCACGAGGGGCAGGCCGAGGCGCGAAATTCAACGAGTATCTCCTCACACTCATACTGCATCGAACAACATTAACCGTCAAATCGAGAATTCCTAACTGACTGCCGAATTCGTCGATAACTTTTCTACTTGTTGCCGCGTTCGAATGCAAAGAAAACTAATAGATATGCACGCGAACATTTTTACCCAATCGCTCAAACATTTCTTGTTCATATTGTCACCAATTTTTAATGTAATTCTTAAAATTATAACTATTTAAAAGAGAGAGAAAGAGAAAAAGGAAGCGAGAGAAAGAGAGAGAGAGAGAGAGAGAAAGAGAAAGCACTTGAGCAGAGATACTCTAACAAAAATTTCATATATTTTTCTTATATTTCGGGGAGATCGATTCTCGATAATCGACTTTCATAAATCGTTTTCTCAAATGTGGAAACGAGAATGTATTTAGTTTCTAGTTAAAGGACGGTGCGCAAAGTTATATTGCGTTTCGTAACTTTTCTCTCTCTCTCTCTTTCTCTCTCAGGCACGAGTGGAAAAGCAGTGTGCGACGTGATAGCAGTGATATGAAAAAATTGTCGACAAGTGGGGAAAAAGAGGGCGAGAGGAGACGAAGGAGAAGGCAGAAGAGCAGACCGAAGGAACATATGCCGGTCACAGTCTGAGGGGTGGTGCGGTGGTGGAGAGCACCATAGTCCTTGCCTCACAGTCTCATCGTAGTTTCGTAGATGGGCAAGCCGCCGTCGGCTATGAGAAAGCCTCGATGGCCCTTGAGTAGCCGCGATATTGCCGGGTAACCGAGATCTAACGGACGCGGACTTAAGTGCAATTCACCGGTACGCCGTGGGACTACCCATTCACCTCCGCGGTTTTGTAGTCTATACGCCGTTTGGTTGCTCTATCTTTGAAAATTGTTTGCACGGACGCACAATTACCTCTTTAATTTGATATTTTTCAATTGTATATCGATAATTTTTATCAGACATTTCATTTTTCAATAGTATTTTCAATCATTTTCAACCGACGTAAGCTTGTGTCTTGAATTAAAATTTTCTTGAAAATATTTCGCGTATTGTATCCATAAACGTTGTATCGTAAAAAAAGAAAGAGCAACAGATTTAATTCTGAAAAAATTGTTTCCTTTTCGTTTCGCGATCTTTACCTGCGTTACGCGTGTTTGATACTTTCGTACGTTTGAGCGGATAAACTGAATTGGAGGTGTACCAATAAATATATTTCCTAGAAAGAGAAAGAGAGAAAGTCAGTAATATAGTTAGGACGTGAAGGGTGGTAGTTATATTGCCCGCCGCTATTAATAAAGTTGAAGTTCGGATATAGATTGGTTTTACCGAGGTTTCAGCTGGTCGTACGTGTTTCACGCGCGCGCGCGCGCGTTAGCGTTCGATAAAGATATAGCCAACGATTGAAAGAGAGGAATATATGAAACGATTAAATATCGTGACATTATTTATGATACGCTCTCTTTTCTTGTAATCTTGTGAAACAAGGTAATACACTTATTTATTTAATGTTTGTACCATTAGCGAATATTTAATATATTCCGAACGATTATTTTTGGTGCGAAATTATTAAGGAAGACCAAAATTACATTAGCGAGGTTGAAAAAAAAGTCGAAATATGTTTATTGATTTGTTTAAGTTTTTAGGAAAAAATATTAAAAATAACATAATTTTTATGATATTTATCTCACGAAGAACAAATGCGCAAGTATATATTGTTACACGCAACAGTATCATAGGATTCCGATAAAATAGAAATTTTCATAGTCTTCGCACTTCCGTCCAATGGAGACATTCCATGAAGTTCGCAAAAAGCAGCGCATCGAATTTTGGACGGCGATAAGGTTACAAAAGGGATGGAGAGCAAGTTTGCCCCCGAGGTAACCGGGGAGGTGTGTTCCGGGTTCTAACCCACGGCAGGGACGCCGGGTCTCGACCCATAATCCAGTGCGGTGGCAACTGATTATACCCCACCTCCCATTTTAGCCTTATCCCGCCTTGCCTTCGTACCATCCCGCACACCACTTTCAACCCCTTTACCCCGCGCGTGCGTCTTCCACTCGAGCCTCATCCTCATTCTCTTCTTATACGTTAACCGCGCCTTCTCTCCATACCGCCGAGCTTCACGTCAATTAGAATAAGGTTGGCACTTTCGGTACGAAGAGTAATTACTTTAATTAACAAAATAGAGGTGGGTATGCGCGCGAGTTTTGCCCCCTTTTCCTCTCGCCCTCGCTGATGTTAGCCGCCGCCGCCTCCTCCTTCTCCTTCTCCTCCTCCTGCTCCTCCTCCTTCTCCACGTCTTTTCGAGCTTCAAGGTACGAGTCTATCGCGTGAAGGATTCGTACGATCCTTTCCGCAAGGCAAGTAAGTACCAAAAGGCAAGAGCTCGCGATGCTCGCCTGTACGACGTGTGGACGTATTTTCTTCAATAAGACTAATAATACTACTTCGCTCTACAAAAAATTGTTCGTATTCTCATCGCATATATTTAACGTTAAAAAATGGCTGTCTCATTTTATTAAAATAATGTGTAACGTTTGACGCAAATGTTAGTTCAGAGAAGCACATAATAATACGCACGCGAAGTGCAAAAAGTTCGCGGTAAGAATATTTTCACGACTGATATTTCGTGCAGTATTTTTTTTTTTCTATTTCCAGACCTATATCGAGAGTAGAAATATTTTCAACGAAACTTTTGTTCCGTGACCGTTGAGAGAGCTCGAACTGGTAATTTCAATTTTATTGACAACAAAACCGAAGGATTGCATTTTCACAGTATAAACATAAAAAAAAAGTTTGTAACAAGCAAAAGGTTATTATACCTATATAAAGGTATTTATATATTACTAATAATAATATTAATCGCAATATATATATGTATATTTTTCATTCAAAAGAGGGACAAAAAAAAGAGATAATCCTACCTGTCATCCTTGCCGGACGGTTTATCGAGAGGTCCAACCGTGTGCTGCGGAGGTGGCATGCTGTAACACGGTGCCGGCGTGTAACCCGCTGGAATCTGATAACCGGAAGTCACTGGGCCACCCGGATAAGTTCCACCGCAGTTGTAACCTGCGGTGGGATACGGTGTGTACGTGTTTCCGGGATATTCAGGTTGAACGCCGGTCATTCCGTATCCTGGGTGAGGACTCATGGGTCCGTAACCTGACGTTTGAGAAATTGCGAATGAATCGAGTTACAGAGTTTACAGTGTTATAGGCAATCAATAAGTTCCTACATAATCTGCATCTTTCCAGCTACCAACTCTCTCGCATTCTCTTGTATTTTATTTTGTTAAAAAATCTTCTAAAGATTAATGTATTCTTTGAGAAACGCGAATCCTTTCTCAATTAGACTTGCGCGATATACAGCGAGAACGCATTTCTAGGACACTCTGCATAAATATGTGCGTATATACGCGTCGTGTGCTTGAACATAGGGAGAATAGCGAAAATAGCGCGAACACAGTCGTGCTACAGAAGCAGTCCGCTGCTTGATTAACTGTTGTAAAATCTACACGTTTATTTACTGGCAAGAATTCATTTTGTCGAGAGAGCACGCAGTGCAAATAGCCGACGGACGGAAGGCCGACTGTGCTCGCGCGCGCGCGACGTCGCGTGAACACAGTGACCCTACGTGTGTGTGTGTGTGTGTCGAGACCGGGAAACACGGAGCTGTGTGTGCTCGAATGTTTCAATTTCAATAACTACTCCCCAGCGTCAGAGTCCGCACAATATCGGCCGCGCCGGACTTTTGCTGGCGCTACGTGTACGCGAAATATTGATAATTAACAATGGCCGTGTACCGTCACAGGGGGGTGGTTCGACGAAAAGGGTGCGCACGGTGCACATTCAGGCCAAAGGACGGAGGTAAAGAGAGAGAAGGGGGAAGCGAGAGAGAGAAAGAGAGAGAAAGAGAAACGGAGAAAACTGGGGGGACGATCGGAGGGAAAAAGAGAAGGAGAAAGGGATGAGAGGGAAAGAGAATAGGCCGCAGGTTTGGAATGCCAAGGTATAGAGAGACCGAGGAAAATGAGAGTTTGGCCATAGGTGCCTATTATGGCAGTCATGTACTGTTCTGGTGAATTTTTATTCGACGGTTGTAACCGCGTATCGTCCCCTACCCCCACCTACGCCCCTCGCCACCCTTGCCGACCCCCAGGGGCGTCGGACTCTTTGTTCTCTTCCGAATCCCTCATCCATACACCTCCTCTTCGTCGCTCTCTCTATCGCCTGATGTTACGACGCCCGTGTAAAGACACATTAACGCTTCGCCTATCTCTTCTTTTTGCCATGTGTTTAAATTTATAGCACTAAGGACATGCTGTCGTGTTTCTTCTTTCCCCTGAGCGCGCGTGTTGGTTTTTTCGCGCTCTCATCTTCACTCTACATTATCGCACGTTATTTTTGCCAAAATTTCACAATGAATCAAATTTATCCGTAAACAACGCGCGCAAACGCGCAATTATTTTCGTGTGTAATAAACATTTGTCATTTTGCACAAACACACAAATGCAATGTTTTAAAAGTAATAATTGTTCTACGGTTCCATGTGATCACAAAGAAAAATCAGTCGCGGGTCATAAAGCACCTTCGGAATGCGGATAATAGATTGTCTTGCGGGTTTTACGCGATAAACGATGATAACTCACCAGTGGGATCTCGGTAGGCGTCCATGTAGTGGGAACCCCCGCTGTCCGGCGTGCTTTCGCGACTGTACGCTGTGACATGCACTCCAGGTGGCGGAAACCCGGGTACAGGCCTGATTCCCGGACCCCCACTGAAATTGACCGGCTCGTTCGCCGTTGAGAAATCAACGGGCTCGGTTTGCTCTTCGATCGGTCGTGGCGCTGGAAAACCTGGACCGACTGGAACCGCGACAGCTTCCCCGTGGCCAGTAGAATATTGCGGACTGGGTGCGCCACTACAGCGGAAACAAATATACATCTCATTTGCTCATTTATCTATGCAACATGATTAGATTTTATCTATGCAATACGTGAAATAGTTCAAAGTTTGTTTCAATCTATTTAATGATCGTTTTCTCTCTAAAAAAAACATAAAATATGTATTTTTCTTAGAAAAAAGACATTTAAAAGTTTTCTATTCTCACGTGTTTTTTTGTTAATATATTAAATAATATCAAAATTAATGCGTACCTATGAAGTCTGTTGACACTCAAATCGAGAGTCTGACCCTGAGGGCTAGGCACTTGAGGACTAGCCGTCAAGTGAGGACTCGCTGCAGCTTGAGGACTGTTACCCACTGTTTGTCCTCCTCCGTATTGCGGACTTAGACTGTTCGAACCGTAAGGAGGCGCCTGTAACAATCCCGCATTTGTCAGTAAACATATGTATATCGATTCGCGATAAAACTGTAAATCAGCGCGAAATGTCAATGTATTTTTTCGTCTAACCTGAGGACTGGTCGAGGTGACACTAGAGGTAGACAGATCCATTACTGATCCTCCAGGCGAGGTGGGCGGTCCGCCGGGCTTCTGCAACTGCTGCATCTGCGCGACCGTAACACACTTTACTGCAACATCCATAGAGACGCAACATTAGGGTCAACTCTTGTATACTTGAGAAGTGATTTCAATCAAATTACCATCTTCAGTTTTAATCATTCCTGCCGCCGTGGCAGCGGCCATCGCCATCTGATGTTGCTGCGCGGCCGCCGCTGCTTCTTGATGATAAACTCGTTCCTGATCTTCCGGTGTCATGCCGGTTTGTCCTAGATAATACATATTCGCGCGCGAGTGAAGTTGCTGCTGCTGCTGCTGCTGCTGTTGTTGTTGCTGCTGCTGTTGTTGCTGCTGCTGCTGCTGCTGTTGCTGCTGCTGCTGTTGAGACGGAATAGGCGCGCACGATTGCGTGTCGTATCTCTCGTAAGTCGTGCCGGTACCGGGATCGTAAGGTCGATGATTGGCCGCGCTAACTACCGCGTTCTCATAGCCTCTGCCAGTTATGTCATTCGAATACGTCACGACTGGTCGCGCGATATTACTCGTTCCGGGATGCATGTACGCTCTCGCGTGTTCGGCCGATCTGTGGTGATAAAGCTCCTCGGTGGTGGTCGCGGCAGCCGCCGCAACCGCCGCTGCGGCCATCATAGCGGTGGGCTCATAAGGAGACCTCTGGGACATCTGATGGCTCATTCTGGTGTCCTCCACCATCGGCATCGGATACGCGACCGGTTGCATCGGTAATACGTGATGCGTCGGATGCTGGCTGGGATGATGAATCGTCGCTCCTATGGATGGCCTCGAGTTCATCGCGTCCATGGACGACATGGACGAGGAGCTCGAATCCTGATTCATGTAGGAATCGTACGTTTGTCGTACCGCGGGGGGTGGCGGTGGCGGGGGTGAGTTGACTCTACAGGACGACGCGTCCTCCGTCTTAGGGACCAGCAACTCGCTCGTATTCTGATTCCTCATGGATAATGTGTTGCAACAACTGCTGCTAAGGGTCATATTTTCCGTTTTGGGTACTTTCGCGGGGCGCGACGTGCTGTTGTCTTCCGGCGTTTTCGGAGGTTTCGCGTTAATACCCGTGTTCTTCGTGGACGAGTAGTAATCGTAGGTTAGACTGCTCAGTACTGGCTTCGTGTCCTGCGTCGTGGAGCCGTACTGCGAATAGTTTTTCGTATCCATTGAAGGAGGCAACAGATTCGTGCTGATGTATTCCGGCGGTATTCCCGGCACTATCGTGGAAGATCGTGTATTTAGTTGCGTATTTCAACGGATGCATTACGTGAGAGATTTCATGAGCTTCAAAGTATCAGTGAAAGAAAGAAAAACTCTTGTAAATCAAATACTACTCTTTTCTATAGTAAGAAGCATAAACGCTCACTAATATCGTAAATAACATCATGCAGCTATTGATTATTGAGAAAAGCTTTAATTTAGTTCAGTAAGATAACCAATAGAGTTTCCAATCAATTTTTACTTTGAACAAGGTAAAACGTGATAATTCTTTTTTCAATATTCTCCGCTATACAAACCGCGCTTTGCAAAAATCTTGTTTAAAACAATTAAGATAGCAATGTTTTATCTCAATATCTTATTGGCGAAACAACCGTGACACGCGCAAACGTGACAAACGGCAAAGAATGAGAGAAGATGCGTGATCTAATGTACGAGATTACATTGTCCTGTCTCCTGCAGTTAATCTCGTCGCATTAAGAGACAGTGAAGATTTCGCCAGATTCGTGTCCGGCATGTCCGAGATACACGCACGACCAAGAGATCCCTGTATCCGTCTTACCTTGAACCTTTTGTCGTGCCTCGCGTGCGGCCTGTTTATTGGCCGCGGCGATGGGACATCCAGACAGGCTTCTGTGCGTGTTCCGATTAGAGCTGACATGACCGCGGCCGTTGCAACCAGGCGTCGGGCATTTTAATATAGTCTCATGCATCGCCAGAACTGCGAGAACCCAGAGACACGTGGCGTGGTTACAAACACGTCTTGCCACGTATACGCGTTGCGTATACATAATTAAAGAGACGCGGCGCACACGTACGCGGGCAGGTGAAATTGTAAGGCGCGCCTTGTCTTTATGCGTTGAGTATAATTATTCTTGCCGGGCACCCCGTGTATATTTCTCGCAAAAAAGGGAACAAGAATATGGTAAAGAGAGGAAAAAACTAAAAAAGCTTTTCTTTTTTTTTTTTTGTTTTTTTTTTGTTTTTTACTGGATGCGACGGTAAATCATTACAATTCATGAGTGACCGACTGAGAGAACGCGAACAGAGGCAGTTTGTATGTGGTGTTGCGTTTAAAAGAGAATGGAAAGGAGAAAACGTAAACGGATCAAAGGTGTGAAAGGCCGAAGAACACACAGCGTGTGTGTCACGCTGTGTGTATAAAACGCAAATTAATGTGTAAACCAGAGTATAAATTTAAAAATACCGAGCGGGTAGAGAGAAACACAAGTAAAGACAATCAATTAATCGATATAGAAAATTATAACACAACAACTTGCACAATCTGTGTGTGAGAGGAAGTGTTTTCTACGTCGACGATAACGTTCTTTTTTCTTCATTCGCGAGCGAGCGCAGAGTATATGATCATTTCATAAAAGAATAATTTCGATGAACATGACATCGGGATGACGCAAGCACATTATAGAAGTGCAAATAAAAAACTATTGCGATCGCACAATTTATCTACGATGTATGCAAACACTGTGTGTATGTGACTACGTTGTACTTTCTGAGCTACAACTTGATTTGTCGTTAATGGGAAATCATTATATCTTCGTCGTTGCGGCAAACTCATGCATTATGATGGGAAGCTCGAGCATCGATCATCTGACCGATCGTTGCGTAATTATACTCAATCGCACAAGTGTCCTCCGTGTGAAATGTCCGGCGTGTGCGCATACGCCGCCGCGCCGGCTCGTCGCACACCGCCCGTGTCTCGAGTTCTCCAGAGGGTTCGTAGGCACGAACAAATATATATATATATATACCAAAAAGTACCAAGTTCGAAGTGTGGTGATATAATTCTCTACTATAATAAACTACGAATAGAACAAAATTAAAAAAAAAAAAAAAAAACTAAAAAGAAAAAACGCAAAAAATTAAGCTCTCTACCCCGCAAATAAAAAGCGCAAAGAATACAACAGACAGATACATACACGCACACATACGCATACGCGACGCGTGCACCGCGCTTTTATTGCTGGAAAATGTCCAGTCTTTCTCTCTCTCTCTTTCTCTCTCTCTTTCTCTCTTTAATTTGATTTCGTGTATAAAAGAGATAGTTTCGTTGCGTTTAATGAGGCGAGGAAGCCGCAGAGAACAATAGTCTTTTGTGGATGACGCTAAACGAGGTGGATAATCAAGAATAAAGAGAAAGCAAGTTCAACTTTGGTCAGAATGTGTTCGAAAACTATAATTCTAATGTACTTAATCCTAATATTTCGGTTCATGCAATTGTACGAAGTTGAGACACGAATTTGAACCATGAAATGTAAAAAGAAGAAACGTATCTCGAAAGATTTAAATCGCCAAGAACGTGTATTAGAAAAAAATAAATATAGTTATTATATTATATATATATATTCGATTAATATTTCTGACAATTGTTTGACAGTGTCGGAAATTATATTTTCAAGGTAAACCAACGTGAGATTTAATTGTATACTTTGAAGTGTGATCAAAAACTGATTATTCATCATTGCCCACTTCTTCACCCCATTACGCGAAAAGACACTCTCGCAAAAAGAAGATGCACTATTTATATATATAGCTACGATAAAGAGTTATAGTTTGAGATAAAATAAGGGTACTTACTCTCTGGGGTTAACTTATCCTTTTGTGGACATCCAGAAAGGCTGTAAGAGTACAAAAAAGTAACATTTTATTTGGGAATTACGTGGCTATTTCGTTGTTTTTTCGTTAAAAAAATCGCAAATCTTCGTGTACAAAAATTTTCTGCAATTTTTATCTCTTGCAAACTATGCGACACCATTTATTTGTCGTTTGAGTTATTGCACAGGATCCGACACGCGGATCATGAATTGACTTATTGACGTTGGTTTCTCTTATAATGCCACGCGCGCAACACGATTCTCCCGTAAAACCGCGTAGGTGTGTAATCGGTCGTAGCCGAGTGCGGAGCACAGGTTAATTACCGATAATTGCTTACCTGCGGTGGTGAGAGTAGAGTCCGGTCACGTGACCCTGTCCCGTGCAGCCTGGGGTCGGGCACTTGTTGCCCTCTGTAACAAATCAAACCGCCACACTGATGTTAGCCGATTAAAGTTGCAAATATACGTACTCCTACGTATTTTCGAACAATAGCCATGTTCATCAAACTCCCATATATTCTCTCTTATATGTATAAAAATTATAAAATTATCAATACAAAGACCAAATTATTTTGTGTATGTTAAAAATTAAATATGTATCTAAATTTTGCGTAAAAGAAGACGCGTGCGTCCAATAAATTACTACTGTTTTAGTATTATAATTTTGACAAACACATGAGTATATGAAGATAGAAACATGTATAAACTAAAAAGTATGCAAAAAATAATAACGTATGATACTTTGGTACAGTTTGCACTGCGGTAGTGAGAGAGCGCGACGTGAGAAGTTGAATAGAAATTAACTATTGAATAGCTGACAGCCGTCGTGTCCGATATCGTCGCGTAGTTTCATTCTGCGTATCGAACCAGAATATATAGCTTACACTCCCCCGTTTGCCAATATATCGCGTATATACTTCATTCTTCACAGAGAACGTTGAACACAGTTGGGACGAAAGATTTTGCGAGCAAGCACGGCGCGGGAAACGTCTATAAAATTGTAAGTATAACAAATTGTGTGTATAACAAGCTTACATTTTTTTAATATAGAAAAAGAAAAGATGACTGTGTAATTTTTATGCTAATAAAAAACTCGTACAATTTTTATAAAAATGTTATTATTCAAAATATTATTATTATAATTAAATATATGTACGTGTATATAATTGTGCAGTCTTAATCTCTTTAAAACAAACTTGTGAAATATTTCGAAAAATAATTTGAAAAAATGTGCACAATTCTCTCTCGAATGTGCACGCTTTAATTTAACAGCAATTTTCAGGTTGTGCGTCTTTAATTCTGTGTGTGAGTGTGGCGAGAGATCCCAAGTAAAAGTTGAAAGGACGATCCAGAAGGGTGGAGACGACCTCGCGTGTGGTCAGCCTGGATCTCGTCGCACGAGTTACGCATTTGTGAATAGCCTCTGGGATTTCTCTGTACCGTGACTAAGCCTTCGGGATTAGTACAGGATATGTGGCCGGCCTACAACTGTCCGCGAAACAAAGAACAGATAGATACCTCATTCTCATACAACAGAGTGAAACTTTCGAGCGATTGGAAAAAAAAAAAAAAAAGTTTTCCTCCACGTGATAATTTCGTTTCCTCCCTATCTATGCATTGTACGAAACATATATTTGTTTATACAGAATACGTCCGCGCGTTATAACTGAAAATTAGCGTCGGTAATTTAGAACTCTTTCGGAACTTTTTTCGATACTTTGTGTTTTTTGCTGCGCGCGGCAACACGAAACTACGAGCGTTAGACGAGCATGTCCCAAACGGCCGATTGTACCATCTGTCGTGCGCTAGTTGTAACGTAATGATCGGTACAGTACACGTCACGTATGATCTTGGTCATATGCCCGGCGACCTCGCGTGATCAGACAATTACGGGTTTCTAGTGCACTGCAGCAGGTAGCCGAGAAGTACCAGTCAGTTAATACACGAGTGTCTTTTCAGTAAGATTCTCAAAGTTGTAAACGTGACAAATATTAACACGTTAAAGTTGATATTAATTTAATACGATTAATTGTATATCAATATCAATTTTTATATAAATATATACATAGTGTGGAAACAAATACCAATCGTCAGCTATATATATAATTACAAATTTTGTGGAAACAACTTTGTCTTCTGAACATTAATAACAAAGATCACGTTCTAAGTGAGAGGCTGTGCAAACTCGAAACATCATTACAAGTACCGGTCATACTCGGGACGAAACATAAGTAGGTTTGTCACGTGTGTTGGAGGATTCGGAAAGGGATTCTAGGAGGAGCCCCTTAAGACGAGGCCAGCTTTAGGTTTAGTTGACGGGGATTCTCTTGAAGTGTGCGAGCGCACTTTTATAAAGTTTGTCGTGTACTAATCCCTCAGCTGGGTCTGATCCCCCTAGCCAACTACGGCGGAGCTCCTTCAATCGAGCGCCGTGACGCCGGGAGAAACTTCATCAGGTCGTCATTTCGCGTTTCAGAAGAGCGAGAACCGCCAACAAGAAGGACGAAGATGGAAAGCCGGTTCTTACTTAGATGCTCGCCTTTTTCTTCGACCGGGCGGCGCCGCCCACCTACCTATAAATTGGATTACGATACGTGACGTCATTAGCGGCATGCTTTATTTGCGGGCCACGATGCTTTCCAAGTTCCGAAGTTGAACGACGGCACACGCTGTCAAGATTGTTTGAAGCCCCCCCACGTAATTCTTTGAGAGGAAACTCGGAGGATTAATTTAGCTCCGCCGTCACAGTTCGGCCAGAGATTAATGTTCAAAAGAACGCCAGATTTTTATTCGTAATTATGACAAATAAACACCGCGGAGAATATGATAAAACGCGCGCAAAACTGTCGTACTAATAGGTCACGATCGTGTAACACACTACGGGAAATCGGTGTTATTTTTATTTCGAGAGAAGATCGCTGAAGCTTCCTGGTTTTTAATTAGCGCCGGGTAAAAAAGGTTCACCGGATAACCGAGGGCGAGCGGTTGCCCTGGTAGGATTAATAAATTAGCCGTAAGGTTTTAAAACGGCCACGTCGGTGGCTAAGCTCAGGGGGTAAAAGGTAAGAGCGAGAGAGATAGTGTAAATGAGTGAGAAAAAAAAAGACGAAGGGGCAGATAATGGTTCCGGTCAACAAAATGAATACCGGCACGCACTGTTCTTTCCGGATGTCTGAATAGAGTTGTAATGAGTCGTTCAGACCTGCCCCCGCCCCTGCTTTTTCTTTCGTCTTCTCTCACTTTTGCCGTTCTCTCTTTCCCTTTTTTTTCCTTCTTCTTCTATCTTATCCCTCTCTTTCTTCTGCCACGGTCCTGCTTCGTTTCTTTTTCCCTACAGCGCGCTGTAATGGAGCAGCGAGAGTCAGTGAGACGAGAGGAAAAGAGCGGAATCAAAGGGTGAAAACGAGGACGAGCCGGCTGGTCACCCAGAGGGTGAGCCCGTGGTCGCGTTGTAATTGTGTTATTTTGTAGCCATTTCACGTGAGGGTTTCGCGGTAGGGGTGTGTACATAAACCTTGGGATTGTTTTATTCGCCCGGTTTGCGCGACACGCGCCGAGACTCTTTCCGGATTGCGAAAAATCGTCAAGATAATCGTGGTGTGAGAATTGAACGCCCGCGCGAACGGTCGCTAATTATTAACTCGCCGTGTCACAAGTCGTTAATCAGCGCAATTGAATATTCACGTACGTAACGGACGGACATTCGCGCGAAAGCTAATTAACTCCCGAGGCGAAAGTGTACATTGACTAATATGCGTGTACTTCTAAATTTGATGTTCCGAGTTACAAAATTGGATTTATTTTATTCGAAAAGACTCGCTAAAAGTTGCGTCACGAGACGTCCTTGTAAATGCGAACATATCAAGTGAATATTTGAAGCGTACCGAGATGATTGCGAGAAGAATTAATTTGTTTTATAACAGAAAAAGAACGTCGTATGTTTGATTACTAAATTTCAATTAATGAACGAACAAAAAATATTTATTTTACAACGTGTAACAGGATGTTCTGTATTGAGGACGCAATGCTGACACCTCAGTGTTGTACGAGATCGTGTGAAGAATCTTTCTCTTTATCTCGACAGGAACGACATAAAAGACTGCAGAAAACTCTCGATCGTACACGATATTCGATGCATGTAACAGCTTTCCAACACTTCTCCGCGCTGATTTCACATGCCGGCCACGTTAGATACGGATAAGATCGGAGATTCTAAAAAAAGAGAACAGCGCGAGAGAGGAACAATCACAAAGTAGATATTTACACACGGAGGCGCGCGGCGCCCTTAAAGGGAGGGTAGAGCCCTCGCGCGCGAGTAAAGGTCCTTTTTATGCGTGCGGTCGCAAAGGCAGCGTAAAATTGAGTTACACAGGGCAGTTTATTTTTTTATTAGCCAGCTCGACCCCGCCGCGCGCGCGACCGGCCTTTCTCGACGCGGAAAGGGTGGTTTTTGCGGCCGACGGATTTCCCGATAGCGGTTTTATGGCGTGTCAACACGCTCTTACGCGCCTGCATGTGAGCGTGCGGCAAATAAAAAAAAAAGGGGCGCACGCGATCGTCACGCTAAATCGAAGAGATCAAGAACAACTCTCGGCAGCGAAAAAGAGAGACGAATATCGAGAGAAGGAGAGAGAAAGAGAGAAAAGACAGATTTTTGATTAAAATCCCTTCCCATTTGACCAGCCCGTGCATGACCGTATCGCCGTCACGCTGATAAGTGTACGATTAATCGTGTCCATCTATCATGCCGCGTAGTTTTATCTGCAATTTCGAACGAGCGAACTATTTCAGTGATCCCCCTTTTTCCCTTGATATCGCTGTAGACACTTCAAAATTATAAATTGGTTGGACGGTTATTGACGTCCGCTCCGGTCGTTATTATTAAACCAATTAATTTTTTTTATTTTTACGCGTTTATCTCTCGCGGCGAACGAGAAATCAAACGTGGAAGATTGAATTCTTGAAAGCGATCATCTTCGCAGCCATCGACCGGAGAAAACGTTAAGGGGATAATGAGGACAGGCAGCCAGGCGCAGGGTGGTAATAAGGTGGCTTGGAGCGGCTGGGATGCTAGTCACGTTTCCAACCGCTGACAGCTGCGGCTTATACGTATGACGTGGTATCAACCCCAAATTTCCCCGACTAGACACGTCGTGTCTTCGCTGCCCTAAGACCCTGGAATGCACTCGAGCCTCCACCTGTCACACCATGGCGCATCTACAGTGTGACGCGCGAGGGTGGCACTTTGATTCTTCGCATCAGGAAAAGCGCGTTTATCCCTCCCCTGTGTTCTGTGCTACTGCATCTAACACGGCACGAATCGCGTTTATTTTTGTCGACAGTTGCTATAGATAGTCGAGAAGATGTTCGAGGATGATTCAAGTGCTGTATTATCGTCGTAATTTAGAGAATAGTAAGACAGAAATAACGTTTGTTCTCGTAATCGGCGAGAAACGACCAACGACAGTCCAAAGTGTATAACAAAAAAAAAAAAAAAAAAAAAAGAGATAAAAGTGTGCAACGGCAGACAGAGATGAGAGGATGCAATAGCTGTATCATACATAAGACACGGGGAATAATTTTGTTCGAGGAGACCTTGATTTCAGCATTTGAGTCATCACCCCTCGCTTCGTAATTATTGATTTTCTGTGCTGCCGTAACTCCCCTAACTTCATCGAGAGCAAGACAGAGAAAGTGAGAAGGAGAAAGAGAACGGACGGAAGAAAGGCGTAAGTGAGAGAGTCGAAAATGCCTTTTGTCCCCTTTTCGTAACATATAACGCACGAGCGGGTAAACTCCGCTACGATTTACGATTACCATCATCGTCGATAATTTAAAAGAGCTTTGTACGTGCGTGCGCGTTTCGCGATAGTTCCGAAAACACACTGATTAATTTACGAAAATGCTTAAGTACAGCGTAGTTCAATCCTCTGACAAGAAAGAGAGAGAGACTAGATCTCGCACACGCACGTGTGCCTCATCAGCTTACATGTGTAGGATTTATGTGTGTATTTTTTTTTTTTTTTTACATACACATGTTTGTTTTGCATATACGTATTAGAGAAAATATATTGGCATGAGGACTTGATACTCGAAACGGAACAGACATCGAAATCCTCACCTCTGCTGAGACTGGACGGAGACATAGATATTCCCGGTCTGCTGTTGCCGCTGCCGTTGCTGCCGCTGTCGAAGGTGCCGGATCTCTCTGGCATTTTCATGATACTGTCTTGCTGAATATTTGCTGACGGCACATCGGCAGCAGCTGTCGGACTGGACGTAGTGGTGGTCGTCGACACCGTCGTGATGGTTATGCTGGCGATGCTGTTAGGATTGCTGGCGGGATTTGTGGTGTTGCTGTTGTCGTTAGCACTGTTACTGCCGTTGGTCGTTTTACTGCCGATACCGTTTGCGTTCGCGGTAACGTTGCTCGCACTACCGTTGTTCACAGTGGTGCAACTGCTCACGGCGGAGACACTGACCACTCCTTCCCTCGCGATGTCCTGTATCGCGCTGGCCGCTCTGGAGCCCACGCCCGCGGGTTGGAGAATCGTGTACTGCTTCGAGGAATCGGGACTGGTGACAGAAGGCAGACCGCTCGGACTTTTGCTGGGCGATACGGAATTAGAAGCTACGTTGTCGCGAGTTGTCACATGATGACTCTCCTCCTTCGATGATTTTAACTGTAAGAGGGATGTGGACGAGTGCTTGTCCTCCGACGTGGGCGAAATACCGGCTACAGGCTGCGGCGTCGGCATCGTCGGTCCGGGCGTCGGATATCCCACGAAGGTGGCGGAGGCTGGATACGGACCGATCGGTGGAATCGCCGAAGAGACTACCGGAACTGACGGAGTGTTGCGACACGCATTTTTTGAATGATCCGTGTTAGGTGGCCTGAAAGCGGATGTTGACGAAAACGGAGAGCCCGTTGGCGGTGACGAGGACGATGAAGTTCCCGTAGGTGAAACCTTTATATTGGTATCGTTATATTGTTTCTGATAGTTCGAATAGAGTGAGTGATGTTGCTGCTGGTGTTGTTGTCTACCGATGTTCTGAGGCGACTGACCGTTTTTGTACGTTCGATCCCGATCTCTGTCGTTCAATCTGTCTCGATCATTTTCGTCCTTGTCCGCGGTCGGATCGGACATGTCGATTTCCAGCTCGTTGGACGAATCGTCGACCAGTTCATTGAAATCTGGCGGATCGTATCTGGAATATTTGTCCGATTGTCTTCCCTGAGAATCGATATGTACACCCACAATGTTCCTGTCGTTCCTTTCCTTCGTCGACAATGAACGAACGGAAATGGGTCTGATTTTCGGTGGCTCGTTCTGATTAATATTGTTAACTTGAGAATGAATGTTCGAGCTTTCGTTGTCTATCTTCAGCAGATTATCGAGATCTTTCTTGGATTTAATCGAGTGTTGTTTCAGATCTTGCTGTTTAATCTGCTGTTGCATCTTACCGGATCGATCGTGCTGTGCGCGAAGCGTTATCACGTCTTTGAGCGAACAGCCAGTGTCGTTACTCGCACTCGAGGACGTTGATATAGACGAGGGCGATAATTTAGGATTTTCTTTTTTTTCTTCGAAGAGATTTTCAAAATTCGACTCGTATCTATCTTCGTCCGATGTGCTTCGTTGATACAAAGATCCTCTGGGTCCTGGCCAGCTACCCGAGAGACTTTTTAAGGCAGCTTCTGTCTCTCTTATGAGAGTTTCGTCATCTTCGGGTTCCTCGCTGTGCTTGCTTGATTTTCTAGCAGGACTGCCGGAATTGCCTGATGTAAACGCGCGCTTCTTTTGGGGCAGCGGTATGTTTTTGTTCGAATCAATGACATCAATCGTTTTTCGCGCGTCATCATCGCGAACACTTTTCCTCCTGCGCTTCGTGGCGGCGTCAGTCGGCTCCATCTCTTGCGGCGTCGTCTGTAGTCGTCCCTTCTTGTTGATCAGCAATTGCTGCTGCGACTGTTGCGACGGCTGCTGTGTGTGTTTAGGATTCTGCGTGACCGATTCTGCTTCCAGCTTCCGTTTTTTGAGATGAGCCATTGCATTCTGTCCGCCCGGCACGCTAGTCAGTTCCACCCTGGAACATAAAAATTCCAGAGGATCAGCAAGTCTGCTCTGCCATGTGGGCATAAAGGACGCGGTGCATTCGGTACACGAGTGCAAGGTCGTCGAGGGTGGCGTAATCTAACGAGAGAGGCCATCTCGCTCAGGATCCGCGCCACTCTTTTGTTGCGAAAGATCCCCAGCGCGCTTGCCTCGGGTCTCTTCTTTCTCTCCTTCCATCTACTTAACAGTGCATTTCAAAGTCTAACTGTCTTTTTTTTTTTTTTGTTTTTTTCTCAAGAAAGTTCACCTGACATCCGTGGAGTACCGTCGAGTACACGAATCCGAAGAAGAATCATTTTATGCAGCTTGTGAAATGCCTCTGTATCTCTTTCTCTCTTTGATGTGGTGTGAACGGCCGCCTGTGAGAGTTTCTCTTTTTTTTTTATATCTTTTCAAAATAAAACACACACTCTATTCTTGCTTCGTCCTTGCGGTGAATTCGAGATGTGTTCCGACACGCACTGCGTGACACGCACGCGCGCATTCACACAGCGAGGACACGCGTGCTCGACAAACCACCGATATATCTATATATACATATCTATGTATATATATATATATATATATGTATATATATATATATGTATGTATTGTATATATAATAAGTATAACACAAGTTTGGCTCGTGTGCGCAACGAGCCCTTTCAGACGGCGTGCTCGCGAGCTACTGTGCTATGTTTAAGTTCGCTCGGGGGTGGCGATCTTCCATCGTGCACGGAGGGGATGAAGACTTGCGCGGGCAGCCGGTGGTTTCTGCTTCGTCGCGAAAGGTGGGGGCGGGTTCTGCGCACTGTCCACCCCCTTGAGCTCGGCTGGAGCACGATTCCCAGCCCCTCAGCACATCCCCCTTGCTCACCTCAACCCTAGCTTTGGATATCCTTCGGTAGAAGGGGACGCAAGGCTCCTAGGTGCACATCTAGGACTCTCCCTCTCTCTCACTCAGTACGTTAAGGTACGTGCTCCGTACGCCTCTCCCGCTTATATCCACCCGCATCTATACTGCCGCCCATCCGCCATCCCTCGGGCTGCCGTCCCACTACATGTACGTGCTACCTGGTTCTCTCTTTGCCGCTTTAGGAATCCGAGCAACATTGGTCCCGGCCGGCGACCTCGCCGATCTATTCCCTTTACAACTCGCGAGTTCTTCGCTAGCTTTTCAACGAGGAAGTCAAATCTGAACTGAAGGAATAACTTTGCTTGTAGCAAATCTGTAATTTTCTCCTCATACATTTCTGACTGTAATGATACATGTAAGATGACTACTCGGACTAACAGAACGAATTCGAATTTCTAATTAATGCACCGTACTCTTTGTACAAATTTCTGTAAATGAATCCTATATGTAGCAATCCGTCACTTCTGACATCGAGTAACACTCGTATATATTTATATGCAATCAAGATATGTTTAAATAATAACCTGTACGATAGGTATAGCAGATAATTAAATAGCTAATAGTAACATGTCGGCTTAAGTTTGTTTAACAGTCGTTTGTTTGTTATAACTTTTATGTTATAACTTTTCTGTAAATGTGAAATCTAAAAACAAAACGCACAGACTTTAGCGCAAAATCTTAACCGAAGATTATTTCAATTGAAGAAATTATCGACCTTCCTGACTTGTAAGACTTCGGGTCTTTAGCTGTACGACGTTCGCCCTTTGGTATGCTCGTAAGGTTTAAGCGATAGGAGCAACCTACAACTGGAATTAGATAAACCTGAGCTTCTATGGAGGTGGCGGAGGCAGAAGAAGAGCAGGATCAGCGTCAGCGCTTAACGGAGCTCCCTAGGATCCCAAGGAATGAGAGAGCTTCCCTTAAACCCTCCTCAGACCACGTAGCCGGGAGTTTAGAGCGACGAACTCTTGCTAGGGACCACGGAGAGAAGATGGCGGGGAGATGCCCTCTCGTCTAAAATCGGAAGTTAAATCGCACCGACGGCTTAAGACATTATCACTTTTCTTTGCGGACCAATGCTCCTGAAACTGGCCTTCGGCAGAGGAACTGGATAAGGACAAACTCCGCGAGGAAGAGAAGAGAGAATGTGGCGCAAGAAAGAGCCGGTATCCCTTCGAGTTAGGGATCGATGCGTCCTGGTCCACCCTCCAATTACGTGTCATCCCTCACGGTCTGTGGGGAATAATTAGAAAGCAAGCGTAGTCCTAGTGCAGATGAATAGCTCCGCAGATGTGCCATAAAGGTTGACTTTAAATTCTCACAGAAAAGAAACATTATGGGTGCCGTCGAAATCTCCGTCGGATGGAAGCCACGTGTAATGTTTTTACGAGGCGCAGACTTACACTTTACAATCTCACTTCTTTCTTTACTCATTAAAATGTCTTCAATATTTAGAGGCTACTGAATAATATAAAATTTCATTGCTTTTTTTCTCGAAAAGAATTGCCATTAATATTAGATTACAAAATGCCGCGCGTTACAGCGACAATCCATTTGATCGACGATTTAAAAAGTTAAACACAAAAACAGACGATCGTTGTTAAGATAAAAATAATTAGACAAAAGTAGAGCGATGAATTAAACAATTACGTCGTGAATATCTTGATACACATTAAGCTGCAATTGCGAAAATCAGACTTAGGCGTTAGTAACTTCAGCTCGAGGCTTGTCAGGAGGGTATTCCCGAGGAAAGACGGTCATACGTCTTTTTCTCGCCGACGTGCGAGGGTGGGCGAGATCGGCGCTAGGCGAGCGCCGGATAATTTAGGGGTCTCTCACGCGTGGATAATGGGGAACTTGGCTAATGCACCCCACTTGGCACTACATAGATTCGCATGAATTTTGTGATTCGACCTCTCTTGTTTTCTACTGCCGGAACGACAACTCGCGTGTTTTCTCTGACAAAAAGCGTGTGTTATCCTATGAAAGGCATGTAAAGTCGATACTCAGAATATGTCAAGGTTTCCTTGAATATTCCGAAAGTTAACATTACACAAGCGACAGCCTGTGTAATGTTTTGGATAAAAAAAAAAGAAATAAAAAAACGAAGAAGATACGAACTTGAAACAAAATTTAGAATTTTATATACAATTAGCGAGGGGGAGCAGGGGGAGAGAATGCGCTGAGACTGAGACAGCTGAGTTCTTCGGATGGACATCATTTCGCTGTTTGGCTCGGGGGAATACTCTGTCGTGTAGCTACTAACTGTCCGTCCATTCGTCTCGAGGTTTTTGTCTCTCTTTTTTTTTTTTTTTTTGCTTTTTCCTTTCGCTCGTCCCATGAGCGCACCCTCGCTTACCGGCTGACGTCTTAAACCAATCGAATTCTAATCAAATATTTAGTCCTGACCGGGCTAACGCTTTAAGTGGCTCTTCCATCGCCGAATTTCATTTCCTTCGAATACATCTCTCGTGTGTAACATTTTCAAAAATTCCGCCACTGAATCCCAAGCTTATGCAGTTGTCTTACAGAAAAAAAAGTTGTCTTACAAAATTCACAAGTCTCATAATAAATCAATTTCGATTAAATCGTCCAAAATGGTACAAAACCTTATTATTTATAAGCGTATTAAGATTTTTTTATGAAAGAAGGAGAGAAGAGAGGATATATGTAAGAGTTTTCTCAAAAGTTCTTATTTGTACTTCACGCCGCGAAATATATATATATATATATATATATATATGGAATATATTAAACATCGCCGATCGTTCTAACGTTGATTAACGACCGGGCTACAGATCGGCGATTCTAACCCGAAGTGGAGGTTGCTTTTTTGTCCCTTTCACCACACGGCAATACGTCACGCGTCCCGGTTTCAGAGTGTAATTAAAGAGAGCGCAGAACAGCATGACGCCTCGAGCTTGTCTGGTGGGAGGGAGCGTAAGGAGCGGGGCGAGGCGCGCGACCGAGAGACCGAGGGTACGCGCAGGATATAAGGGATGTGTTTTACCGAGGGATACTTACACACCATCCCCGCGCGGCACATATTTTCATATAACAAAACCATCTGCGTGCCGCGCATAACAAATTTCAACTGATTTATAGTTGAACCTGCAGGCGGTGGAAGGCCGCAAATTTTCGCAGTTACGAAAACCGGCGACTGTTTCGTTGCGCGCGAAACAGGTTTTTTTTTTTTTTACACAATTTGCCGGTTAAAAACTACATCAGTTCGATATAAGCAACAGATTCGGATGATTTTTTTTTTTTTTTTAACAACGGAGAGCCGCGGCAGGAAACGTCGGTGCGATCTTTCGTCGTGCGCGAAAACGTGCGGGGTAAGTACGGACGGAGTTTGCGAACTTCGAGAAGTCGTGTATATACTTCGAATTCTCGGATATGCTCATCTCGTATAAGCAGCGGAGAAATTGAAAAGGACATCACGTCTCCCGGGGGTTTAATGCTGATATTCGCTAGGAAAAGCGACCTTAAAGGGTTGCACTGCGCGAAGGGCGGCTAAGGCGGGTATATACAGAAAGGGACAGCGGGGCGAGAGAGGGGCGGTAAGAAGCGACCCCGCTTGGACCAACTGACGTTCGACCATGCCATCGGATCGATAATGTCATAGTGATAAGTATTCGTACGTGTATATACTTCTTACGCGCGTTTGTATGTAACTAAATACACATGTGTTACTCGCTTATGCAACTAAACTACGTTAACTCTGGAGATTTCACGTATCGATATTTAATTCACATGTGCGTATTCAATGGTTTTCCCCACGGAATATTTTATCTCCTGCACCGTTCGTTTGCATAACGTAACGTGACTGTGTGCAAAATTGTTGTGTAAATCTCCTTACTTTACGTGTTATACCTGAAACAAAAACGTAAATTTTGCGCGCGTGCACGAGCGACATATCTCGCGCGATTCAAATCACCAGCTCGTCGAAGCGCGGGGAACGACGAGCGCGAGTTCTTATTGCAAAATGAGGAAGGCAATAAATCTGGAATAAACGAACCTGGAATAAACTGTCCGGGAGCTATGGCCATAATAATATGCCTTTGCCGAGACGCGCCGCCAGATTGTTACGGGTAGCTGGAATTGCCTTTCCGAAAAGCACCGGGCGCGGGCGGGCGCGGGCGCGCGCGGCCCGTCTCGCGCCGTTCTTGGATTACGATGCAATTTCTCGAGCCTCTCTCGCTGATGACGGCCCTTAAAACTCGAGAGAACCTTCTCGCTCTGCGACATTATATTATGTATATATGGCACGTCAATGAATTCGGCATCGTTCCATCTTTCTCTCTCTCTCTCTCTCTTTCTCACTCTTTCGCCTTCTATCTTGTTTTTCACATCGCTGAAATTATGTGATAAGTATCAAGTAATGCGCATTCAATATTCTGATGAAAAATAGCGTTGAAATTTCATGTCGAAGAATGCACACGGTACACGTGATATACGTAAAGTGAAAAGAAAAGGTTCAACGGCAGTTTGTTAGAAGAGGCAGTTGTAACGGAAGGGCACGTATCGGGTAACACGATTACAAATATATCATAAGCTCCTCCGATTGGCCTTGCACAGAGGGAGAGAGGGCCCGTGCTGGGAAAAGAAGGAGCGACGTGTTGAAGGACACGCGATACACGTGCGTCGCCTGTCGATGCGGCTTTATCGGCAGCAAATCACTGCCGCACCGGCGAAATAAAGACAAAAGGGGAAGAGAGAGGGCCGAGAGTGAATGCGAGAGACAAGGTGAGCGAAAAGAGCACGTAGCACATCGCGCTCGGCTAAATCGAATTGACAAAGCACGTTTCCTCCATACCGCCAAGGGATAAAACCTTGAAAGAAGAATATACGCGGGCGCAACGAGAACAAGCGAACAGTGTCCGGCGAACTACGTACATGATTTGTGCCGAGGTTCATGAACTTTCCCGAGATGAAAAAGTGTAAAAACGTGAAGAACGCTCTAAATCGACGATTGTCGATTGTAACTCAAGAAGCAGAGAATAAACGGGAACGAAAGAATAGTTTTTTTTTTTTGTTTAAGTGCAGATATTAAAAATCAAACTTGAATAAATTCTGTCATTTCTCAAAGTTTATAAAATATTGTTATTCCTCGATATAGATTTTCTCGAACAGATTGCACTCGGAGAGCTTTCAGAATTGGATCGTTTCACACTGTAAGTTTCAGGGAAGCGTTGATACACGGATTGAGAAGATTCGTTCGGAATTCCATCAGAACTCTCTCTCGCTGTTGACGATAAAGAAGAATCTCGAAGCTTTGTACAAGACAGAAGGAGAGAGAGAGAGAGAGAGAGAGGAGAGAGAGGAGAGAAAAGACGCGATATCGTGAATCGGCGCTACGGAAACCGCCCTCGCAGACCGAGACAGTCAGATATCTCGGAATGTTTTACACCTCATTAGGCAACAATGTGTTGTTGCCAGGGTGAATTATATCGGGCATGAGACGCCCGTCAAGACAAATGGCTCGAACCGGAGGTAATTGTGGGCTTTTATTAGCTCTGGTTTCTCCCGTTGGCTGCGAATCGAGCAACACGGGAGACGCCAAGCCGCCAGCGCAGCGACAGCAACCCTTCTAACTCCTTCTCTATATCCACCACCCACTCCTCCTTATCCCCCATCTCCACCTGCCGCACCGTTGCTTTCGACGGTACGTAATTACTCGCGTGACAGTAATGCGGGAATGCGAATCTCGCCTCTCCTAATGCCAGAGAAATCATCTCTTCCCTTTACGTGTACTTCCTGCGTTCGTTGCGACGCAAACGTCGTTTCGTTGCGCTCCTTCGAGGTCGGATTTTTTTTTGTTTTTTGGTTTTTACATTTAACCTCTTAAAAGCATGCGCTTTTAAGAACATCAAAGAATGCGAATGAAAAGAGTGTGTGTGACAACAAAAAAAGCTGAATAGTTGCGAGATGAAGTTAGTGACAGGAAGTTGTGTGGAATAAGATTGTCGTTTTTCATGTGTGCTCTTGCATTCTCCCTTACCCGGCAGTGGGTAAAACCGCGCGTTTTTAGGGGAAAGTACACTTTTGAAAGAGCGTATTTTCACAAGAGAGAAAGAGAGAGAGAGAGAGAGCAGCTATCCACACGTTATTACGAAGTATGAGCCGCTCGCTACATATGCGAGCCAAGATTGTTTCCCTCTTTCGTTTGTTGCCCCACGACTCATGTATTTATGCATTTCGACTGTGGCTGTTTCTTGACTCGTATTCACCCGTACTCGTGCTCGCGAGCGGAATTGCGTTGAAAACACGCGTAAATCGGCCGTATTCGCTTCGCGGAAAAAAGAGAGATAATATAGTCAGTATAGAACGTCGAGCTCGCGTGTGAATTTTTGTCAAAATCGTAATTTTTAATGAAAACACTAAGAACAACAAACACGCTTTTGATCTCGGGAATTTTTGTCAAAAAAAAAAAAAAAAAAAAAAAAAACGGCGTCGAAAAAATGTACAGAGAAATGCACGTATAAAACAAAGCAGGGTGACGTGATTTTCAGCTGCGGCAATCAGAAAAAAAAGAATTTTCTCTCTTGGATCAGAAGCTAATTTCCGAAATTTTGCTACGAACACTCGTGGACATATGGTTGTCTTTTATTAAGTACACAGAGAACCATATTTACTCATTGCATTCATTCAGATTCACTTATGGGCGTGATTTACTGGGCGCACCTTGGAAACCGGTGATGGGAATTTATTGAAGACGGAGTTCGCCCTAAAAGCCGGGGTGTGCGATACGCGGAGACTGAGATAGGAAAAGAAAAGAAGCGCGCGCGGGAGAAGAGACGGATGAAGAGAGAGAAATCGCGAGCGGGACAAGAAGAACGAACCGAGGGAAAAGAAGATAAAGGATACGTCCTTCCCTCTATATTCTATATCCTGTATGGCTCATAAAAGTTTGTAAAGATGTCTTCCGAAATGCAAATTTATCGCGACTATTCTATCCGAGAGTCTCTGCTGCTTCTCAGACTGGCTTCATGATGAAGTAACGATATTATTAGACAAGGCGAATGTTAGCGAACTTGTTGTTTCGCCTGAATAAATTACTCTTTGCCACACCGTTACCGGAATTAACAGCGGCGCACACACAAACGCGATAAGTGCATTTAAAAAAACCAATATATTTACAAAAAGTAGACATTATCAATAATTTATATCAGTCGAGAGAATTCTTTTCGCGTTCGAAGTGCGCACATTAAATCTAGAAGTAAAATATATACGATACTTCTTTATCCGGCGGTATTAAATTTTCATTCGCCTCTTCTCCGCGTTACTATCGACCATGGAATACCCCGTCCTCCGACGTTATTGTACTTTAAAATACATGTGCGACTTAAATCATGACGACAATAATTGTGTCCGGTAGATACGGATGACCAACTCCGAAACATTTGCTCGCTCGACCTCTCCTTATAAATCATTTGCTATTACAGATTCTCCGATGATAAACAACTATTTGTTACATTGGCTGAATGCGGTGCGCGACCGACGATTTTCGCGCTATTTATTGTTAGAATTTTATGTTATTGTTAAGCACTAAAGCCATTTTTTGTTATAAAAAAAATACTACAATAAAATATACATGTTCTTCTCGACTTCTGCTCATCTCCTTAATAATTATTGAATATTAATAATTACATTATATTTGATTGTTCTCACATATTTTACAATTGTTACAATTATATCAAATGTCAGGAGAGGAAATATTGATTTTATGTATTGCTTTACTTCAACTTTGAGAGTAACAAAACTGGCAAAAGTGCGAGAGAAAATTTCTCAAGAGTAAGAAAGCAAAAATGCTAGTTGTGCTTGCCAATTTACGCGCGGAACGAGATTTCGGTCGATCGACGGAGGCGAGAGAGGCATATAATGCCGCAGGGTGGAGCAACGGGGTTGGGCAGAAGGCGAAAGAGAATAGAAGGTAGAGGACACAACCTCCCCATGAACCCGAACATGAATTAAAGTTTTAATTTCTCTAAATCACTGTTCGCCCTCGAGCGCTTTCCACCAGACGGTCCGTTACTTATAGCCTTTGCCCTTTTACCGCCTTCTTTTTTCCCATTCGCCTCGATCTTACCAACGGCCCGACCCTCACCAATAAGGAGAAATCGATATGCACTTATCCGATGACTCTTGAGACTCCGAATAACGAGTCCACTCTCTTTTTTTTCCCATTTCTTTTTTTTTCATATATTTCCGAGCGATAACTGACGAAAATCGTGCGATCTCGAATATTTTTCAGGTTTGTCACGGTTATCGGATTTATTCATACAATTTTCGGCTACATTTGCTTGAAAAGTCTGTACGGTACTTTATTCATTCATTATCAGCACGGTCTCGGATATGCATTTCGAATGAACTTCAAAAATTGTTTAGCACACGCGGTATATCAGATAACGCACACCGACAATCCCGTCGTTCCCGTCCGTGTTTTCGGGCTGAAAGGGAGAAACGGGAGTTGTTCATTTAAAATCATGACGTTGGTCGGAGGGCGCTGGTACGGCGTTAGTATTAACGTTCGGTACCGCGCCGGTCGGGGCCACGTACAAGAAGTTCGCGCGGTCCCCTCTTCTTCCCCGTCTCGCTACTACCTAGCCCGCTTTCCCTACCGGGTGACATATTGTTTCTATTCTACTCTCTCGGGTTGCTAAAGCGCAATAAAAAACTGGCATAAATATCGCCTTTCTTCCTCCCGCCGCGCCCCTCGTCATCCTACGTATGGTTTTCACCGTTCTGTGCTGTGTTCCCTCCTCCCGGAAAGCCGAGTCGACGACAATAAGAACAGAGAAACGCCTAATAACAACCGGCGCGGAACCATACGAAAACACCATTTCTTGTATTGCAATACAACGGTGGTGAGGACTAATTTGTCTGAGTGGCTTTTTGAACCGCGGTAAGGAAACTGAGCAAGGACCGTAATCTCTTGCGGTTCACACACGCAACAATTTTTTTAATATACACACTTTGTTAACAATATATATATTTTTTTTATAAAATACAAATTTATGTGTATATATTTTAAATCGTACACGAGTTGAACGTTACTTACAGCGTAACAGGTTCTTCGGGGCTAGAAGGCGAAATGGAGAGCGACATGGTAGTGGCAGTCAGGCATCGTGATGTTCCCGGAGACCTGACGCGATCATCCACCTGTAACAGAACAAATGCAACAGTCACATCAGAATTACTGACCGATCGATTTTAGCACGTGTTACAAGATAACATAATCGTAATTTCTGACAATTCACTAGTAGCCGACTTTAACGAGTTACTTTTCTCTCTTTAGTAACTTTTTGCGCTGCTCCTGCTTAACATCAGACAACACTTAACACGCTCTCCTTCCCTCGAACAATTTACCTAGTGCCTTATTCACGAAATAAACGGGTTATTTCGATACGTTCCCTATACCCATGCAAGAGGCAGCATCCGGGCCGAGCTAACAAGCGACCTGCCGATTGTTCCACGCAACAGAACGGAAAGAAGCACGAAGGAAAAGGAGAGAACCCGTCGAATTCTTCGCACGATACTTGCTACCGTCGATGGGGAATTGAGCAACAGGTAGAGCAGACATGTCCTCGAGGCATCATGCTTGGCAGAGCACACATGTGGATTCGCTGCATAAGTGTGTTATCTGAAGCTGTGTTTTATTTTTCTTCCGTTCTCTCATGTACAAAAAAAAAGATGAATTAAAGGCGAAGAAGCGTTTCTTTGTGTCCGTCGGTTTTCAAGGATGCGTTTAATTATCGCGGTAACTGTCACGAGAACAGTCTAACGATCGCACTTCGAGATTTGCATCGCACGATTGTCACACGCAGTTTTAGAGACAACTGGCAAATTTCCAAATCACAAGAATAGTGTTACACTTGATGAAATTCAAAACCGATTGCATCAAATAAAATCTTTTTTGCTTCACGAGATTTGTTCTTTGAACGAAATGACTGACGTGATTTCCAAAAGATTAATAACGAGCGTGAACTGTTCCATGGCGATCACAGAGAGAGAGAGAAAGAGAGAGAAATAGAGAGAGAAACAAACGTAGCCCCGGGCAAGTGGACCGCACTCGCGGCAACCGACATCAATCTGAACGAGCAAGCCGCCCCTAACGATCCACCAAGTCATATAAATTTTATTGCCATTTCATAAATCCGGACGATCACCGCGAATAACCGTCCGAGGAGAAGCTCTCCGGGAGATTATCAGGAACGTATAAAGTTGTGAAATGTTGCACGGTTACAGCCCCGCTCCGATCGTTGCTCTGAGAGAACGCTTCTCTGATACTATTCTCGAGTGCATTGCGAAAACTTTCACGAAAGTATAATGGCAATTATCGCCTGACTTAAAAAGCGATTAACTGCTCGGACAATTGGCATTTTATATCAATTCCCCGTAGTTTGTGTTCGCTTAACATTGTACAGTAGAATGTGATTGAGTTCAACAAACTTGAACAACGGTATCATTATTTATCAAATGCGATGTACAAAGAAAACAAATGTTCGACGGTTGCATCTATCACTGAGCAATGTGCGTATTTTAATGCAGAAAAAATGTAATATATATACATATATACATATATATGTATGTCTGTATATATATATATATGTATATATGTATATACGTATATATATGGACGAGAAACACTAGACGAGATTACGACGGCACCCCCCGCGGCTCTTGTGCCGCAGAGGTCGGTCGTTTCCGCGACCACAGAGGGTGGAACAAAAGAAGTTATTGCCACGGAATTTTTATGCCGACAAGAGAAAGAAATGTAAATCAGGTCCGGGCGTTCTCTCGCTCTTCGTCGTCATGAACCTGGAAGGGATAAGAAAACCAAAGAGAGAATTCAAAGGCGTCTTTTATAAGACGTTCGAAACCAAGCGCAAGATATGTCGGTGCGCGTATAACAATAAATAATAAATACCGTATTAATTCTGGAATACTTGATATTTTGTTGATAAATCTCTGTGGATATTTGATATATATAATAATATATAGTACATATATAATCTATTTAAATTGTTAAAATTTAATTGAGCAAACAATAACAACTGCCATTTTCGAATTCTCAACTGTACTGTGCCACGAGATTGTGTAAAATTGATTGATACATCTTTAACGTAAAACGAAAAGCAGATGTAGAAAAACTGCCAATCAGTCATTCAATCGAACGACGAGAGAGCGTCAAGGAGACGAGAGATGAGGTAGAATCGAAATGTAATTAAGAGAGTAAATAATCCGTACCGAACAAACTCCGTAAAATGGATCAAAGAACTCGCGAGCGAGAAGGGAACGTGATAGTCGTCGTGGAAGGGACGAAGGAGCGCCGAAAGGTATCGGGGGGGATGAACTATACGAACACAACCGCGCCTCGTCGTCGTCCTGTCGTCGTCCTATCTGGCCCGAAGGAGTAGGGCAACGAAGGGGGGCCTCGCCGGAGAGACCCTCGATAAATATTTCCGTCAAGTGACCGGGGTTGGAATTCAAAGAGAGTCGAAAGGTGGAATCGAGAGTGGAACGACTCCAGTCTATCTTCTCGGGGATGAAAGACGCTGAAAAGGAAAGCCGAGACGGGCCGGTATATTTACGTTACATTACATAGTTGCGCGTTTAATCAACCGTATACGCGGGACCACTTCTTGTTTGAGAAGAAAAAAGACAGCGTAAGATATGTATCCACGAAGAGCGAAGAGAAGATGTCAATTGCATTTTTAAAGGGAACCAAAGCGGTCCTATCGACGTCGTCATCGTCGACTATCATCATCGTTTGCTGTTATTTGTTAACTTGATATTTATACAACCTTCGTCCAGACGAAGAAAATGTGTGTGTAAAAGAAATCAGAAAAAAAAAAAGAAAAGCAGGCAAGGGTCGTTGGATAGCGTGACAGATTGCCTCCGATATTTTCCACCATATACATCATCGGCAGCTGCGAGATGTGAGTTCTGTTACTGTTGCTCGCAACTGTCGTCTTCCTTAATAAATGTTGCTCGCGTCGATCGACCTTCTCAGGTCAACACCAAATTTCTCACCTCTTTCCCTAATACATATACACAGCGGGAAATTATTCTTTACTCGATAAGAGCAATCACATTTCAGAGAAAAGGTCAAACTTTAAATTAATATACGACTCACCGAGGCGAAACGCACGGATGGGTAATACATTGATAATAGAACGAAGGGTCGGTGACAAACTGCCGACCGCACTTTCATCGTCAGGGATGCGATTAGGGAAAAATTCGTCCTGTTTTAATGGGGAGTGAAAATTAAATACCGCGGTGTCCACCCCCTAAGTCCGGCAACCTAATAATTCATACGAGGAATGTAAAAAGGGCAGAGCGCCCTTTTCCACGAGCACGGAAAAGTGCGAGAGGAACGTTAACGGAAGTCAAGGGGGTAGAAAAATACGGGCTCCTGTTTATCTTAAGATTTGTAGTCGCCTTGTTCCGAGTATTTATTGGTTGCTCTCCGGCGGTGGCGGCGGGAGTGTCTGACGGACCGTTAAATTTTATTATGTGTTTTTCACCGATGTCGAAATAACGTGTCGCCGGATACGGCCGCCCGCGTCGCAGTAAGGATAAATTCTGATCGACCGTGCGGATCGACATTTCTCCAAAGGGCTGTAGAGTCGTGAGCTTTCGTCTTATCCTTACGCTCTCAAATCGCTTTTTCTCCCCCCGCGAGAGAAGCTTTCGCAACAGAATTCAATCCACGCGAGAGATACATCACAAAAGAGAGACGTTAAAATGATTATATAAGCACAATACATTGCAACATGTATATATTCGCAGTTGTAAGTTGTTTTTAATTTCTTAAACTCAAAATATATATTTATGTATATATTTATTTTTCGAAAGAAATTGCAAATATCTATTTTCAAAATACAAACGTCAACACACTACAATAATTTATGTTAGCTGTAAACTGATATTACATAATATTGCGTGTACATTTGCAATGGCTGAAGAGTTTTCGTCTCGGCAAAATTGTCGGGGAAACACGTGAACATACGTATCCTTCCGCAAATCTGTATCCCGAAATGGTCTAAGCGTCTCCCCGCGCGAGGTCATATCTAGGATTAAGGTGGTTGCAAGCTCTTGAGGACGATGGTTGTAGATACGGTGGGAACCTTGCGCTAAACCAGGCGCCTCATTATCTTAACAAATCTAATCTCGTAGTGGGTGTTTATAAATGTCTTGTTTTCCTCTAAAACGACTCTGAGGGTTGACAAGAGGAGAGAGAGAGAGAGAGAGTTTCTACGGATTATGTCTGTTATTGCTTTATTGCTAGTAGAGGATCATGAGAGAAACATTCTTTTCTCTTGCACAAAAATACAGACTACTAATTTATTTTACAAACAATTTGTTTTTTAACATTTTTCACACATCACACACTTTCTCAGATACTTACGACGAGAGAAAATTTAGCTGTTTTATTTCAAATTAAATCTCGCTCAGGTAAAAGCAACAATAATAATATGCTGTCAGACATTTTAAAATAAAGAACTTCCGCGCATCACGGCCAACTCTTTTTCTTGAATTTTCATTCGAATCTCGTACAAAGTGGTTATGTCGGAGGCTTGCTTCATCCTCCTCCTCACGGGCGTAACCTGGGCTCTCTCTTCCATTCCGTCTCGTCTTGGGCATAATTTGCACACAAAGTACCAAGGAGTAAAGTACTATGCGGGGTGCCAGTATCCGGCGTTATATGTATTCGCGTGTTGTACGTGTGCGCGCGTTACATATATACCGAACCCAAAGACATTATGCTAACGCTCTCCAGACGATGGTCCTCTACTTGATGTGCCTGTTCTCGTCTTTAATAATCAATGCGAATACAAGACATCTTCGAGTTCATTAATAATATTACGCGCGCAAAAAGTGTTTGTTTATTTTTACAAAATAAAAATTGTAGTATGTATGTCGGTTTTTAACAATTATTATTATTTCGTGTAAGTCGAATTATAAAACTTTTGTTGTGTGCAATTAGCTACGCGTAGAATGTGTCGTTAATTGAGACGCATCTTAATAATTAAATTAAGTCTCTATTCAATCCCGTGGAGTTTTTATAAGAGAGAAATTTTCTTCCGTCTGAATAATTTAAATGCAAAGACATTGACGAAGCTTAGCACGAGCTCTCTCTCTCTCTCTCTCTCTTT